TAAGGCTTTTGATGAGAAAAATTCGAAACACGCGAAATTTGGGCAAAATGTTTATCTGAGGACTTGACATTGTATTGTTATGAGCAGAACCAATGCGCAGAACGGACTTAACCGCCTCTTTAAGCTCTTGAATCAAATTATATCCTTAATCCTTATGATTAGACAAGTCACACGTCAGATATAGTATGTCTTCCTCGGCTGCACTTCTTTCTGACTTATATTCATTACATTAAGGTTATCAAACTAGAAATTTATCAATGAAATTAGATTAACGGTCGCCGAGCTTTATACAACATGGCTGATCATAACTGTAACTGCTTCCACATGCAGAAACTGCATTTTGTCGGGTGCCGTATTGATTTTTGTAAAAGTAAATGGTGCAAAATTTACTCGCGTGTTCTTGAAACCAAACCTAATCAAAAAATTTCGACTAGTTTCATAAGACTGATTAGAGTCTTTGTGTTTTTTGCGCTGTGATGATTGCGTGTCACTGACCGCAATATAAAACAGGACGCGCATGCTCCATCGGCTACTTCTTTAACATTTAAACATTAAATGTTCAATATTTCGTGTCACAGAGAATATTTTTGATGCATGCATGGGCATTCAAATCTTGCAAGCAAAGGAAATTTAAAGAGGGGTGAGAGCGGCTTCTGCACGTCGGTTCCACTCATAACATCGGGGAGACTCCATGACTTTAGAAATTGCCCAAATTTGGAATGTTTGAATTTCTTTGAGCATAAACTCAACCTCTGTTCATTTAGGAATGATAGTGAATGTCGGAAATGGCAAAAAATATTCCGATAGAACAAGTTATTTTAAGACTGGTAGCGACTCAATAATCAGTAAAAGCGTTGGTTCACATCACCGACTGTAACCCACCTTTAAATCTGCTGTGAAATTGATATCCTTTATATAACAATGCTCAGTATTAAACAATTTATAACACACAAGCGTTTGAAAATGATACAGGCCTTTTCTAAGTTTAAATCTGGGGTAGGGTGAATAAAATTGTCCTAAAAATGCGGGAATTATAAGAGGGTCCAACGCTTCTCTGCAGTTGTGAGGACATCCTGATGAATATCAGTAGTCTATAATGATGAATGTTCATGAGCGCAAGTAAACAACTTTTTTATAAATAATAATTCCATCGGCCATTAATTTTGGTGATATTCCACTCAAAGAGAACGATCACGTGAGCTGAGGGAGGAGCTGAGCGGGAGAGGGAGGGCGAGGGGTGAGCTACTCCCCATACAGTTCGCTTCTATAGTTAAAAACGCCAAACACGATATCATTCTACACTCGAAATAGATACTTCATGTTTTCTCTTTTTTTTTCTATTGCGGTAACACAGACTACTTGAGATATGTTTCGGAGATTTAATATAAGTTAGTGAGTGATTGAAGAGAAATTTTGATTTGGACTATTCAATGAAGTTAACCAAGTAGAAGTGAGGATTGATGAGGCGTCGTAAGTCGGGTTTTTTTAGAGAAAATTTTTTCTTTTACAGAAAATCATTAGCTGCAAAAGCGTGAGCAATATGATCGCTTGCTACGCCACTGCATGCTATTGCATGCATATCAGAAAATCAAACTCGGTACAGTCTCTCAAGGTCAATATTTAACTTGAAATTTGATACACGTAAACAGCAGACATAATTGGCCATCCACGTTCATCAAATAGTGTAGGTACATAATAAGTACCATCTAAATTCAGGATTTTAGAATCATATACATGCATGTGGGCAAGATATCACTGCATGCATGCAGTTTCATAAATTCGTCATGTTTGTTGAATATATTATATATTACTGTCTCCCTTTGGCAACGCGTCGGCGCATCCCCTAAATTCACATTATGGCTTCCCAAACGGCAGACATTTTACAACTTAGGGGCTGTTTGTGTGGGGCCGGGCTGGCTCAGTCAGCAAGACAGCCTGGTAAACGGGATAAACTTGTCCTATGTTTATATGAAAGCATTTTATCCCGCTTGCAACGCCTTTATTGCCTTCACGTTTGAAGTTCATATCACATTAGTATCAGCATCTATTTAATTAAAGTTCGTCCCCACCGTTTGTTCGTTTTTGAACATGTAGTGTTCAAAGCTATAAAAAGAAATGCTGAGAAACATCAAAAATTATAAAAATTGGTTCTACCCCGTAAACCAGGCCAGCCCCCTTGGAGTGTTTATATATGAAAATATTTCCATCCCGCTAAGCGAGATCTCGCCTCTTTCGAGCGGTATCTCGCCAAGCAGGCCAACCCGCCTGTCCATATAAACGCACAGAAGTTCTTATTAGGAAATATATTCGTGGCGAGATCTCGCTAGTCGGGCTGTCCCGCTAAGCAGCCCGGCTTCCATATAAACAGCCCCTTGGAGAGATCCAACCCAAAATAGAATGCCGCGCGTCATTATCCATCGCATTGCGCGCAAGTATACATATTCTAAACTACGCATTTTCTGCGACTTTCAAGTACGTCACATCGGTTGATATAAAGTTCTCGAGGCTTCGTTTCCTGTATTTAATTGCCAAATAATTAAAATGAACGCTCCAAGGCTTAAAAAATGTATATTTTGAGGTTCACAACAGCCGAATGCCATTTAGGCCAAGTAGGCATTCTCTTTGTTTAATTTAGACACCCGCCGTTATATTTGGTTTCATGTGAATATGAGGATTTGTAACTATGCCAAAAAGCAAACGCAAAGGTTATAGCAATATTCATCCCGCACGCATCCTAAATTTAGATGAGAAACCTCGCTCCCATTTAAATTTAGGTTCACTCTGCGAACAGGCTGTCTATAATATTGTGTCGTGGTTAAAACATCTTTTATAATTTATATATGGCCTATTATTATTAGCGGAAAGATACAAAGGAAACGACCACATTCGGTATTTTTTGTGTTTTAAAGGTCTGTTCGCACAGATCCAATTTTGTTGGATCGAATTCACTTTTGACGTATGGAGTGTAGTCTGTTATTGATAAAGCCGTACTGTATTAGCTTCAGTGCATGTGTTTGCTGCTCATAAACATCATAAGACAACAGACTATAAAACATCCATCAAAAGTGAATTGGATCCCACAAAATTGTATTGAGTGAACAGACCTAAAGACCACCTTGAGCATAACCTAAGGTAAAATTCCAACAATTATCGCTGTATGAAGTTCCCACTGTGAGTGAATTTTCTAAATTTATAATGAAGTATCGGAGTCTTTGAAAATAGTCAGGCACTTTTTAGCGCGGATATACCGGAAGGGCGTCTTTTGACTTAAACTCGGTACATTTTAACAATAAACTCAATGGTTCAGCCGCTTGGACGGACAGAAAACATCGACGCGTATTAATGTACTTAGTTTTGTTGACTTTGATTAGCATTATCGCATCCAAGCTTTCGAATACGGGATTGCCTTATCTGATAGACATGCATTATCTCATTTAAGGTCATAACTTATCCTCGCGGGCCTATTTTCATTGTTTACATTAGAGATAAACCAAGAAATTACCGTAAATTGACTGCCGGAATCTTGTGTGAAAATATCCCAAAAATTTATCGCTTCTCACACTTCCTACAGTGATATTTTAAAGGTCGATACAGACAGGACGCGAATTGGCAACGCGGCGCGAATTTTCAACGTTTTATATTTTTCAAAAGCAAATAAATTTTAACTTATCAAAATTTTCTTGTAGATTACATAAAAATAATAAATTTCGATTGCTCTAGCGTCCATAGATTCCAAATTTTGATCCCAGTATTTAATTTTTATGCTTCTGAAAACTGAAAATTCGCGTCGCGTTGCCGCTTCGCGTCCGGTCTGTGTCGGCCTTAACGCATGTTTCATCACTACAGCTCTTAAGCCTCTAACTTGCAATTACAGTCATTGGTAGATTTTTACTTCAAAACATTCTTTGGAAATCAATAATCTATAGTGGAGTTTTTTATGTATTTTGATTTCAAAATAAGGCCGTGCAGTTTATTTTGTGTCACGGCTCTTTTCCTCTATGTAGCTATATATAGGTGGAATTTTCCGCGCGAGGAGGAATTTTTCCATGCATGACTCTGTTTTCGCATATTATACTGTATGTCGTTTTGAAAAATCGCTACCACGCATCGAGACCACTCTTTATAGCCTTTTCAGTTTTATTCTAAAATGTTTCTTTGCTTGCCGTGTTTGATATATAACGTGAAACTCTCTAATATTCGTATATATATTCGTCGCATATGCCCTACTGATTTTCCGTCCAGGCTTTATTGAAATTTTAGCTGAGTCCAGTTTTGAGTCCAGAGAAACAAAATATGGTCCAGTCCAGTCCAGCAGTCCATATTTTGAACTATGTCTTGCACAAATAAGCTTCTACAGGCTTCCAGCGACGGCCCTGCTGACGTACGTTGATCGATGATACTTTGATTTAAAAACAAAGTATGATGAAAGCCCGGTCATAAATATGTTGCTATAATATACACATGCAATAATTAAGATCCCTCAGGATGATTCAAATTATCAAATTCTACAAGGTAAACAACGCCAGACACTTGACAGTCGCTAGTGTCTTTGCCTGTGTTTCTCGACTAGCTATACCGTAAATCGCTTTAAATACACAGAATTTAAATTTTTCAGATTTTGATCTGTATTTTCCTATACGCAGTCTTTCTAGTGTTACCCGGTCCATTTTGCGTTGCGTGTTCAGATATACTCTCAATCATAAACCACACAAATTTAACGCGACACGCATGACCCTAAAAATATGTCATGCTGTCACGGATCCACGACTCAGTGGCACAATGCCATGTAACAAACAAGGATCGAAGTTCGTAATATCAGACGTTACGTTTTACGTCCAAGTAAAATCCCTTGTTTTACCTTTGCTGAAAAACATTTTTTCTTGATCTATATATAGGAAACAATGTGTTGACCTTTTCCTCTGGTTAAGCATTAATTACAATTACATGCAGTTCCGGCGCGGCGCGTATGTTGAATGAATTTGTATTCGCGCTGGGTTTTCCGTTTATATACATGCGTCATTGGTGGCTATACTGGCTATTTGATTGGGAACGTGTTTATTGGCCGCGGTAGAAGATAAGTTCGCGCTATAACATACACGCACGGAGCCTGTAGTCTAGGGTGGACATTAAAATAGCTTGTCAAACGGAAATCGGGAAATGCTTTGCAGAGCTAGATGTTTGTTAACTGTGTCCCTAGTATCATTGTTATTTGCGTTTATTTTGATATCGCTGTCGAGTAGAGATCCCGCCTATTCAACATCGTCCACACTTTTGTACGGTACGTAAATCTGACATTCACGTCATCTATATACCATAGAGTTTCGCTTTGTTTCTTCTTTATTTATTTCAAAAATGTGTTGTTATAAAACTATATATAATATATCATGTTTTATTGTTATAATATATCATGTTTATTTTTTTGAGGCTCTTTTTAGAGGCTATGTACTTACATGATATCGCTTAACCGAGATTAAATGAAGCGAAAAATGATTTCGTTTCTAAAAAACTTATTTCAATTCCTCAAAATCATCTCACGCTTCGTTAAATCACGGGTAACCGGGCTCATGTGAACAATCTTCATTCCTGTAATTGGAAGCTAGTTTGCTATATATGGTATCTTACTTTCAGCGTTACATATATGCTGTTGCGACTATTTTAAGGCCTAAAATTTTGAAATTTTTGCACGTATTGTGTGACGGTGACTCTGTGTCCAATCACATCTGATCATATCTTGTTCTCTGCAGTTGCGTAGGGTAAGTATATGAACGCTGTTAAGTATTGTAGCTATAATCTGGTTATACATTTATCTCCTTCGTCAACAAATAATAGAAACAAATATTTGACCTGACAGCATTAATGAGTATATCATTTGCAACTAATATACAGTATTATTGGCGTTGATAGGTCGATAGAGCTATAGTTTGGGTCAATCACACAAAATAATGAAAATATACTGCGTTCATATCGATCTCACTGCCAAAATCTCGTCATTTCTCGATTTTTGGATACGAAAAAGTTCGACTTTTGATAAGAGAGAAATATTTCAAAATACAGAAGTATAACTTGCCGGTTTTCAGTCACGAAAATATGGCCATGTTTATCAATATTTTATATCAGTTATTGTCCCAGTTTTACCAGTTTAATAGACAAAACACTCGTTCAGACTGAGTACCTGGTGGTCAGACTGAGTGTAGGTATGCGTGAATTCGATTAAAGCCTGATAATGATTTTACACTCGTGCCTTAAAACCATCTGCATGTAATCAGGGCAGACACTGGAAACCCCCGCAATGCAAGCAAGTCTCCTGATTAATCAGTCCACCACAGGGCATCACAAAATAAGTACAATATTTGTAAGTTTATTCATTGTGAAATGTTGCAAAATATATATCTATATAGGCATGCATGCGAGGTTTGCAAATTTTGTATATCTTTATATTATGCGACAAAAATAGACCGGTATTATTTTCTGAAACTGTATCAATGATCAAATTCGGTTATACAACTCCAATATCTACAAAATTTCCCTAATTTGCATGCTAAAATTTCCGGCATGTTACAAAAGTTCGTTGAATTTCTCTAATTTTGTGATGCTTCTTCTATAACTGAGGAAAAATTCTCCTAAGTCAAAATGTTACCGGTAAATAATGGTCTTATTGTTCATTACTGTCCTATAGTTGTATTTGTAGGTAGGCCGACTGAAATGTCGGCCGTCATGAAACATGGTCTGCATAGTCATCAACTGTGCATGGTCACCAACATGCATGCAGGCATTTTACATTATTACATACAATAGCTAAATTTATCTATACAAGTGCATGAGAATTTCAAATATATATATGATTGGATAAATTACGTACTATAATCTCGTTTTTCATGTTTCACGCGAAAACGATATATTTCGTTCTTCATGACCATTCTAGCGGTATATAATAAAAGCCAGGTGATTTTGAGAATTTCCGTTGAGTCGTGCACATTAATTCATACCAAAGCTACACATGCAGTGGTACAAAAACTTATGGGGAAAACTGCAACAAACTAATCTAGCTTAACTGTGCTCTTGTGCATAAAGATATAGATTAGGATTTTAGGTATGAAAGGATTCCTTTTCAGTTTCGTGTCTGTAGCAGAAAAGTGTGCAGTACTTCGTTGAAAAGCATGCAGTGGTTAATATTTTTACGTCGGCGGTTTGTAAATAAAAAATCAAATCCAGCGTGCACTTATAATACTATGACCTGTTTGTCGCCGCTGCACATACCTATAATTCCAAACTGCTGCATACTTAAGACAAAAAAAACTATTTATCACTCTAATCGACACTCTGACAAATCCGCGATAGTGCCGTTTCCGAGTTTCCGTGATTTAAGTTAGCCGGCATATCAGCGGAACTGAACTCAGTCAGATTGTACAATCTTTTTATAGAGATACCCCGGGCATGAGTTTCTTTGGTGTTTTATTTTAAGTTATTTAATTTCGATAAGAAAAAAACTAATTGCTTATAAGGTAATACATTCAAGTGCATTTCCCGCCCTTCAGTTCATGTGAGAAGCGGTTCAAGTGCAAATCAAGAAAATAGACGGTCATGGTGGTGTATTCTGAGTTCAGGCTGCTTGCCACTTATACGCCTTTTTTCTTGCGAACCTACACCCACGGAAAATTTTGAATGCTTTTAAATTTAACATCTTACTCTACATGCAAATGCATACTTAAAACTAAGTTCTTTGATTCGTACACTTATAGGTCTTCAAAGCTAAAGATAACATTTTTCAGACTTTAGCCTAAAGTGCCTATATCACTCGTGGGATCTTTATGCATTTGAAAAGAACGTCAAAAGTTAGTTAATATATTTAACAAACGTTTTTTTGATTTAGTGCAATAATTTCGAAGATACAAGCGTCTAAATTACCTGCGGTTCCTGAGTCCCAACCTCCTGGGTTTAAACACGGCTATTTAATTTGAAACTGCCCATGCATTGTTTGCAGGAGCCTTGGACTCAGGAACTGCAGGCAGTTTAAAGGCTAGTATCTTTAAAATCATTGCACAAAATCAAAAAACTTTTTTAACATATTAACTAACTTTTTACATTCTTTTCAAATCCATAAAGATTCCACGAGTGATATAGGCACTTTGAAGTTAAAAACGCGTATATATATATATATATATATATATATATATATATATATAATATAATATATACATATAATATATATATATAATATATATATATATATATATATATATATATATATATATATATATACTAAGGACTGCTTTCCACTGTCCCTCGTGTACACACGTAAAGATATAGATGCATAGGGTTGGATTCTGTTGGTGATTCAGTTTTTTTTTTCGTGCATGTAACTGATTAATCATACAAAAATTTGGAAAGTTTTAATCTCGTGCATGATGTGCGTGTCTGCAAAAAAACGCGACTGTGGTAAGCAGCCCTAAGTGGAATCAGCCCTTAAAGCGTTTTTCATGTACGCACGCACACGCACGTGCTAAGACTAAATCCTTATATATGTCATATTTGCGGCAGCTATAGGTGAATAAATCGAAATAACTTAGCTTTATGGATATTTTAGGGTTTCTTTAATTCCACTTACGCGTTTTTCATACCTACGTACGTAAAATATATATGGTAATACGCATTTGTTTAGCTAGACGTTAAACAATCAAACTGATTTTAAAGCTGATTTAAATCTTGATTTAAGATGGAAAGCAGCCCTTATATGTATGGTTTTTTTTACCTACGTGTTAAATAATAAAAATTTTAAATCTTCAGCGCGCAAAAAATGCGAAAGTGAAAAAAAGCCCTTAAGGTTGTTTTCCTCTGTTGCGTTTTTTTGCACCTAGCTACGTACACGCACGTGAAAGTTTATGAAAGATAGTCGCTGTTTGTTAGAACTTTCCGTTTACTTTGACATGATTTTTTATGTAGGGTACTATTTACCCCGGGGTAAAAGTGAATACAAAGAATTGCTTTCGTAAAAATATAGCGAAGTTGGCAAATTTTGTACAAATTAGTTTTTGCCAATTTTTTTCAATTTTAAATTCGAATTGAAATGTTTTTAACAGAAAAAGTAGCCATAATGGAATTACTTCCAAACCTATATTTTGAGACTTTCCGAATTCCGAGTCATACACAACGCCACGATATCATACAATCTTCTGATGAAGCTGCATGTAGCTATGCATCAAATGTGGTATAACAACTGCCTAAATAGACAAAACACTTCTCGACGTTTCGACCTGAGGGCCTTCGTCAGGAGTGTTAGTGAGATATTAACTCTCCTGGCGAAGGCCCTCAGGTCGAAACGTCGAGAAGTGTTTTATCTTTTTAGGGAGTTGTTATACCACATTTGATGCTAAGTTGTTTGAAGACGCTGCCACGCTGCTCCTTGGTTATATTGGAACTTATCTGCATGTAGCTATGTTAGCAAACATGTGGTGTACCTCAGGGGTCAGTAATTGCTCCAGCTTATAGCTACCTAACTGTGACTTAGTATCAGATGGGTGTTTTTCCGATAATGAAGTACTAATTTGTACTCTACCTTTATACTTCCCCATTACATGCACCTTGTGTAATCTTCAATCTAGCGGCACATCGATAATTTATTCTCGTGTGGGGAAATTGGAGCTTGTCCAATTTTGGCAAAGTTTTCGAATTCACGTCTCTGTTATACTATTAACTCGCCAAGTTCTACTCGCTATCACATGATAACTTATACGCTATTTTTTGTCCTTCGTGATAAATTACAGTTTTATTCTTTTCGATCTTAGATGACATTCCGATCAACCTTAATGTACAACGAAAAATATTGCAAAGACGTGAAGAAACCACCATAAAAAAGACTCCTTGTCGTTCGCTTCCTGATTATTTAAAACACAAAAAGATCGTACTTGATCCAAAGATCATCGATGGTGTTGATACCATGTTGATGTTTATTGGTTACCCGAGAAGTGGGCATACTCTGATTGGCTCATTGATAGACGCACATCCAAATATGGTCATAGCAAATGAATATAATATTTTAGGCAACTGGGAGAACTATACAACCGAACACCGTAACAGGCAGTATTTGTTTGAACAGCTTTATACCAACAGCTATAACGAGGCTCACGAAGGGGACAGGTCGTCTAAAGATTGCCTTCCTAAGACTAAATACAACTATTTGATCCCAAATCAATGGCAGGGAAAATTTAATGGAAAAATAAAGGTTAGTGACGCACTTCTGAAAGGGAAGAAAGTCAAAAATTAGCAACGCAATATAACTGAATGTAAATTAACACCACTGAATTGTCTGAAGTGCATTGTGAGATCCAGGTCATCATTAGACTATAACGGCATAGACGAGGCTTTTCAATTCAATCTTTTATTTTAAAATAGAAGTAGAAAATACTGCAAATCTACAGTTTTACTCACAGTATATACACAATATTGAAAATTTTCTTGTCTAAAATTGTTAAAGTGGAAGTCAAGTCTGTTGTGCGCATTGGTTCTGCACATAACAGTGTGAAGTCCTCTGAAGGAAAATTGCCTGAATTTCGTTTCTCCAAATGGAAGAAGTAAAGCCGATGTAATAAAATTAGTCAGGCACGTGGATTTAAAATTGGTCATTTTTCATTATTTGGTTGATATCACATGACACTCCCAATCTTAGCTCGTTCACCATGCCTTTCACACTAAACCTTTAATAGCCTATAGGGGATAATGATTGCATTAAAACCTGCATAGTTAAACATAATTATAGTTTAGTTCCGCTTACAATGCAAGAGGTTTTTCACTTGACGTTTTTCGCTCTTTCAGATTATTGGTGATAAAAAAGGCGGTAAGACGACAGTATTGTTGCAACGTTCTGAAAAATATTGGTCATTTTTGCAAGAAATACAGGAGACAGTACATATTCCAATAAAATTTATTCACACCATCCGCAATCCATTTGACAATATTGCGACAATGTTGTTACGTCGAGAATTTGGAAACAACTTAAACTGGACAGAGATGTATAAAAAGCCTGTAAGTGAAACTTACGAAACTTAATTTGCCTTCTTTTGTTCTGTGCGCATGCATAAGCCCAGCCCCGTAACCGGACGTTTGAGGTGATTTGGGACAAGAGATAATAGTTCAATCGAAAATTATTATTTTTGTACCGAATGATTGAAACATGTTATGAATAATATACTCCATACTAGAAATACATGCATGCAGCAACCCTCACTTTTTCAAACCAAGTACACAATTTCTGAATTTCCTGAGCTTACCTGACCTAAAATATATATTATGAAATTACACAAACCTCAGGCTATATTATATTCTATCAAATCAGGCTATATTATATTTTATCAAATCAGGATATATTATATTTTATCAAATCAGGCTATATTATATTTTATGGGGTATATCATAGGTAGCTATAATGTTTCTATCATTCGGTACAAAATAAAATGATTTTATTCATTAAGCTGGTATAAACTTTGGCCGTTCAATATTTGCAGTATAGACTATTTTTTAGAATGTAAGCTTGTGTTGGACGTAGGGGGCTTGTGAAGGACGTACAACTGTTCAATATAAATATGATGCCAATTTTTGAAACCTCCCACGCAGATATTCCAAACTCACTCCAAACTAAATGTTAAACCAGTATAAATGGCAACGCCAAAGCGCTGACGTGAACCACGCCTTTGCAGGCAGTTTATATAGTAAACGTCAAACTAAAATCACGATTCTTATTGTAAATTGACAACATTTTCTAATAGCAATTTCTTGATGAAATTTCACAACATTTATTAGGCTGTCGAAGCCATTACCTATGTTCTAATTTCCAGTGGTGTAGCCAACCTGACGATTTTGTCCCGCTATGTAAATTTCGAGTTAAAAATTTATGAGTTTGTTGATAATTCATGTCCTCAGAAACGCATTGTCTCACAGTGTATGAACCTGAATCGTCAGGCTGGCTACGCTACTGAATTTCTTTCATATGTTTCAGGCATCATTGTCATAATATTAGTTTTAATGCACTTTGTTCCCTCCACCCGTTCACTTTGATATCTTTGGAGGGCTTAAGAAGGCGGCCTCCATAAATGACTTAAAGTGCCTCTATCATGGTTGCTGATTTGGAATACATAAAAACTTTGCAATACAGTTTTTGAATACAACTTTTGATATAACTTTTGATATATTCAAAATCTGCAATTGCAACCATGATATAGGCACTTTAACCCAAAGATGACCACTTCTCCACAATGCATTCATTCTTTCATTTTCTGTAGTTAAAATTATCAAAAAATATGTTGATCCAGTACATTCGCTATCGCATGAATTTGGCGACGACAAACGCACGTTTTCTACAATCGTTTCCCGAGCGGGTATATACATTGAGATCAGAGGATGTCGTCACAAACCCGGAGCTTGAATTACTCAAGATATGCCATTTCCTGAACATCGAATGTTCGGAGAAATATATCAAGGATTGTACCAGCATTGTTCGCAGGAGTGTATCAAGATCAAGGAATGCTATTGTCTGGGATATGGAAATTAAGGATATTATGTTTGATTATATGAAAAAAATTCCTTTCTATAAGGATTATAAATTTCATGAATGACAGGCGATTTGCGTTCGAATTTCGAAAGTCACTTTTTCATTAGAAAAAAAATACATTACCATGCAAAAGTACTGACATAAGTAAAATTACAAAGTTTGGTTGCAAACTTTGAAGGGTTGAAAATCGTAACAGTTTTAATAAATAGGGAGCTTTAAGGACGTTTTCCACTTCAACTCTGTTGTAGCGAAACGTAGCATATTTCATTGTTTTAAAGTCATTAGTTCTGGTCGAATACTCTACTGGCGGATCTAGGGGTGTGCAGAATAAATTACTACAGCTATAACTCGAAATAGCATTGGTAGATTCTAATGAAAAATATTCCTTTCAAATCTTATAACCAATAGCGTTGTTATTAAGGTGTTTTGAATTTAAAATTAAGGTGTGTAATTTATTCTGCACACCCCTAGATCCGCCACTGGTCACGTTACGCTACGAATGAAGTGGAAAAAAGGTCTTAGAAGTGACTACGAGTACGAGATTCGTCTTACTGGCGCGTTGTTTGCTTACGCCATCAGCCAAAACTCATCAGTAGTCGCCGAGCTTTTGAGTAGTGGTACTCGTACTTGTGGTCGTACTCGTACTCGTTGCTAAAGCTCCCTATTATCGAACAGACAAAAGTATACAAAAATTTCAAAACTTCGCAATTAAAGTTGGATCTTCCGTATTTCATGACACGTCGCAAACGAACATCACCGTTTTACTAATCATGTGCTCATTCAAAATTTGGTAATTTGCTCAGTGATTTAACACATGCATCAAACGCTAGTCTATCATGCAAATGGTCCATCATCAATGTAATTTATAATTCGCTTTCAATTCATTCATTTTCATTTCATGTATTTACCATTCACTTCTGTACTTATTATACATGCATGTATTTAATTTAATAAATGTGACTGCGCATTTCACCCTTAGGGCCGCTAAGATGTTGTGTGTGTCGGGGGGGGGGCGTATGGGCTAAAACATTCATTGGATCCTTTCTCACCATGCACTTCCTCACCCCTTCTGTTCATTATTATTTAAAAATATTTCTTAAAGGTCCTTTATTTGTCCAACATAATTTTTTTGGCTGTTCTAAATTTGCGGTCTCTTTTTACTCATTTTGGCTTACACAAAAAAAATACACAAGTCGTTATACTAATATTAAGTCTGTTCACAAGTTGTCGCAAGTTTGGAGCAACCTGTGGAATAACAACTCGTGGCAGTCCGATGCATTGTGAGACTAGTTGCCAGATTGTTCTGAAAAGTTTGATATTGCCATGATATAATAAGGTTGCAAGAAACTTGGCAACACAAGATTTTAACCACATTGTTCAAAAGCCAACAAGACTATTGTTATATCACGTGTGTACAAGACAATATTTCTCTACAACTTGGAACATGAATTAAGAACAAAAATTGTTGAAATTTGTTCGCAAAATTTTTACCAAATGTGAGACACTGGACTTAAAACCAAGCAAGGACATTGCAATTTATGCTTTGTTTATGTTGCGTACAGTTGTTACATCCATATTACCAGGGGCCGGTTGTATTAAGCCCGTTTAGCTTAAACGGTGGTTAAGTTCAAAATAGAAAGCAAGTCTATCGTTTTATTGAAGAAGCAAACAAAATGTTTTTAACCTGAATACAACGATACTGTTTACAACTACGTGATATTCAAGTTGACTCATTCAAGAGAGACGTAAGAGTGCTATTTAAGTTTAACTTATCCACCGTTTAAGCTAAACGGGCTTGATACAACCGGCCCCAGGGGCTTTAGTAGCGACTAAGTACGACTACGTCGTTGTTAGCTTACGCCATCAGCCAAAACTCGTAGTCGCCAGCTTTTGAGTACGAGTTTGTTAGTAAATTTCGTACTCGAAAGTTTTGGCAATCTCGTATTCGTAGTCGCACTCGTAGTCACTGCTAAACATCGCTTATATACTATATAAGCGCCCTGCTGCTAAAGTTCCCTTCTATCCAGGCAGGGACGCCGGAACGTTGCAAGGGCAATGGGGGGGGGGGTCAGATTTTGGTGGATAGGCATTCCTGCAGCGGTGAATAATATAGAATGTTTGCAAAACATCCTCTGTTGAATTTCCTTTCTGCGTGTTTTCTCTTTTAAAGATAACATCGGTTTCTTGGAGATTTTCACCAGACGATTATGCAATTCCTGATGCTCGCTTGTGGAACTTCTGCTTTATGATTTAGTAATTTAAAATGAAAGGGCATCTTAGCCACCTTACCCCTGCTGGTAAAATGCAAGGGGGGCAACCGCCCCCTGTTTCGGCGTCGTTGTTACTATCAGATAAAGGGAATGAGAATGAAACAAGAAATAACCGTACATTAGTATAGCATCTCATATTTATTTATTGAAATATAATCATTATTAAGTACTTACAGTTGTATTTGTTCCCCCTTTTTACACTTCCAATGTTATTTAATATACACTGCGACTCGCGATGTTAGTTATAATGCTAGATTTGAAAAAATCTTTAATTTCGGCTGATTGTATAGCGGGAAACTATAGGGAATACACTACGTGTATTGACTGAATACAAAAAGTCCAACCAATATGTCACAGAAAATGAAAAGATTTGAAATATTAAATCTAACGCAACGATTTCTTTAATAACACTGTTCTTAACTTTTTCCTGAGCCAAGATAATAGTTTCTGTTAGGAAATAGCAATTTTGCTAACCTAATACGTTATTATCAATCATTATTTGGTACATGCTTTCAAATTAACATATTTCAAACACGGATATTTTCATGTAGTCAATCTGCAATTTACAGTAAAACGTCAGATCACGTTTCAGCAAATTAAAGTGAGTTATTTACCAACTTGGGACCCATTGAGACAAATAAGGTCAAAGAGTCTTTCATTCACGGAATCTGTCAGTTTTCCTTTTAGAGATCTTGGTATGGAAGCGCTATCTGATTCCTGTTGTATGACTTTCCACAAGGCGTCTTTGGAAGTATACTATTTTCCATCAGCATGCATAAACTCGTCGCCTAATGATAGACCACATATTCTCTATGGGGTTAAGATCGGGTGAATTTGGAGGCCAAATCATCAGTGTTCGATCCTTGAAACCCAAGGACTCTAAATATAGAGTTGTTGCTTTAGCTGAATAGGAAGGGGCGTTGTCATGCGTGTAAATTAACCTTCTCAACAGCGACAATGGGATCCCTTCCAGGCAAGGTTCAGGAACGCTTTTTAAAAACTGGCAATAAGTTTGAGATGTTAGTTTAACACTTTCTGGTACACGAATAGGACCAAACATTTCGTCCCTAATAATGCCAGCCCATATCATTACACCTCCGCCTGCTGGCGTCTCGTTCTTGTTGGACACTGTTCACCTGGATGACCCATCCTTTCGACCAACCATCAGGGCCATCCAGAGTTGCTCTGGCCTCGTCAGTGAACAATACACATTTCATGTCTGTCTTCATATAGTTTTTAGCCCAGTTCAACCGCAAATTTTTGTGTCTATTCGTTAGTGGAGGCCTTTTTAGTGAACATTTGTTCTCGGCTATCTTTATTCTATTACTCGTTGCTCCTGGTAGTTTTCGCAGTTTTCGCTTTAAACAACGTAAATCACGCTTTGAAACAGACTTTGTGGATCCGCGATCAGTTTTTCTTTTCCTCCTCCTCAAAAGATGTTTTAAAAATCTCTTTACTGTTACGGCGTGACGTTTGATAAGCTTTGCAATGTCTTCGATTGTGGTTGATTTTGCCAACTCTTTAATAATAATCTCTTTTTCTGGGTCAATAAGGTCTTTGCTTCGTCTCATCGTCACAACAGAATGATAAAACTAATAAAGTGGACCACCCTTTATATAAAAAACCTGCCTAATTTACGAATCACGTGATGTACGTGAATGTAAACATTGAGGCCGTGTTTCCACTGCGATAATCAATGTTCCCAACTCCGTGCAGAGGAAAGAGCTTACTCGAGTAAATTTGTGAACATATTTGCACGATAACTAATATCGTGAGTCGCAGTGTATTATGTTATGTGTCGAAATTCTAGTACTCCCAGGCTTTTCCGGCTTAGTTTTGTACGCTGGCGTAGGCAAAACATTATGCGACAATGGGTTCAAATAGTCATACCTGCAGTTGCCCCTGGGCCACTTTTCAACGCTTGCTTTTCGCTAATTCTGCCTGCATAGGTTCAGTGTGAACCACTGAACTCTAGAAAGACTGGACAATAATTGGGTTTTTGACAGCCATCCATACAACCTCGTATCCAGGGTTCTATTACCTACGCTCTACGGCCATAAAGATTATGCTTAAGCTAAAACTCTATTCCATTCTCTTATTTCTCTTACTCTTTGTCGGCACGATTGACAAATGTTAACAATAGAAATAGACTGAAACTGGGCTTTCAATTCGGTTTAAGGTGGTCCACTACACTAAAAATCACCATTTATCGTGATTTAAAAATTTCAAGGGATGCAATCTTAAATATCACCCTAATCGATCCTCAATATTTTTTTTCTAAGAAATATATTAAGAACGAATTATATAAAGAACAAGACGCCTGTCTTCTGTCTTGGCATTAACTCCGGCGTGCCGTGCACATGCCAGTCTTCAATATCTGAACATAAACAATAGAGTTCATACTAATTTAGATGCCTTGCGAACCTAAATGTTGTTCGATCGCGAAATTCAGAAGCACATCATACTTTAAAAAGTATCGAAGTTCAATTGTTCAAAAATGTAAATAAACTGCATGATACGTTCACTTTGTCTTACACTTTGCCTTTGGAATTCGCGCTTATATAGTTATATTAAACCTTCAATCCTGTGCAAAGTATGACATGTCAACATTCCCATACACAACCATATTTTGTTAAACGGGGAAATAGCAGTGATATCATTAAAATAAGACCAGAATCTACATGTATTACATGTATCGGAAATTAGCCACAGCTGCTGCGCACCACAGCTCTTTGGAGACAAAACTGTTGTTATATCTTAAAACTTCTTGTTATATCAGTAACCTTTGACATAAATTCTTGCATTGAAATTTTCAAAAATGATTTAATAAAAAAATAATATACACAATACATAATCGAGTTTGGCACAGGCATTAACTTTGCATATGTTCGCCATTGTAAATAAGGGCGTGAACTCTAAAAGAATGCGTTAAAGGGGGCGTTTCCTCAAACGACTGAATAAAACAAGGCAGGCGGAAAGGAGGTCTTTTACATGTAAACTAAACAGCCCTGAATAATTAAAAGATATTGCCAAAGATACAAAATAATGGTAAAAGTCTGGCAGGACTGTATTTTTACAAGAAACTGATCATATCTACATTGAAAATTATGCCCTAAACGTTTGCGATAAAGCGCTACGAACAGAGTACGATTTGTTTTTTGCACGCCGATATTTTTCACTCTTTTCTAAATTTCATCAATGAACCTTTCGATTTTACTAAGTTTTGAATGCTGTTTTACTCGGTGCCCATCGACTGCGAATTTCAAAAGAAACGAATAACAATAATGACTTAAAACTTGCATAGCATGACTAAATTGTCAGCCAGGATGGCTACGCCACTGTTAGCTCGCTTAATTCATGATCACTGACATTGTTGTTCGGCGGTTCGTATTCGCGGGATCGTTTCTTACTCTTGCAGCAATGATACCAGCTGCAAATGACAACAGTGGCTACTATTGCTCCCAAACAAAATGCCAATGTAAGCATACACCAAAAAAAAACTGACAGTGAAATGATTTCGAAATAATCATCTTCTGTTGGCTTTATTGTTCCCAAGGGACCTTTCGGGATGGTAAGAAGAACTTTATTTGGGCCACTGGTTGTGGATTGGCTTTTTGTACAACAGCTTACTGGTGTCGTTGCCGTTGGATATGTTGCTATTAAAATGAAAAAAACCGAATTTGTGAAAATAGTTTTACTGCAATTATTACGCTGCAAAAACATATATAGTTATAGTTAGTGCATGTCTCGAAGATATTCTGCGATGGACCATCCCCCTTTAGACTAGGGATACTAAGGAAAATTATAGTACATCCCGCGAGTCCATTCTGAAATTAGTACGTTTGTGAAGTTTGGTTGCGAAATATTGAAAAATGGGAAAAATGTAGTATTGGCAAATCTTGTCATAAATTTAGTGTATTTGGCGCGAAACAGCTTTACCACATTTTTTTAATTAACGTGTCTTTACAACCTCGTTCCAAGGACATTTTATTCTCTGGCTATAGATGGTCGTGAATGACGCGACATAAGGGAGCACCTTTTAAGGGGCTAACCTACAATAACGAAGTGTCAATATGAGGTGCCAATATGAAAATCTTTCAAATTACAATCCCTGAGATCAAATTGCCATGACCTTTTTGGCCCCGGGGTAACACCCGTCCTACCTCCCCCCGGCTCGTCGCTATTGCATGTATGAATTTTAATGTAGGTGACATACCATTCGTGGTAGTAGTGGTGGTCACTTGCTCTTTTGTATTGGAAACACTTGTTTGCGGTTGCGTTACCGGACCGATCGTTGATGCATCTTAAATAATCAGAAATGGAATGAACACGTGAGATTAATCCATTTCATTTGCGTCCTGAGCATAGAGTAGAGCCATGATCCACTAGGTTTTCGCCCAGGACAATTCTCGGTCCCAGGATGATTCTCCAATTTTGTGGTTCTGTTTATTTATAGGGACAATATAGACAATAGACTATAGCTCTGACACAATTTTGAAACCGAAATAAAGTATATTTTAAGAGTTACTTCAAGACGCCGCAGAGGATCGTTAAGGGGGGGGGAGATTCATGTATTCAAGTCAGCAAACCGTAAAAACAATCAATTTCAAATGGAACTAATATTGCTGAACGTGAATATATGAGTACCCCCCCCCCCACTTAACGACTTCCACGGCCCCTGGTTGTTTCAACCGAGATATACATTTACATTTGACAACTAGTCCCGGGCTACACCCGCTATTCAGATCACCCGATTGCAGCAAATCAATATAAAAATGGGTTGTATACCTTGATTTTTTGGACCTTCTGTGGTTTCCCCATTGGCCGGTTGCTGACCGAACTTCAATTCAGGATTTTGAGTCCTGGTGGCCGCTGGATAAATCAGAAATGAGATAAAACATGTTATGCGTGATTGATGGATTGATAGACGGACCTAAAACCGATTACTATTAATTTAAAAGAACTCAATTCGTGTGATACGACATTTTTCATGCGCGTTATTATGTCATAACGTGTGTTAAGTTGGCCCACTGCAAAAAAAATCCTGATTTATCCGGTTTTAAAAGTTTCAAGGGATGCAAACTTAAATGTAACCCTAAGCGACCCTGAATATTGTCGACCAATTAAAATAATTTCTGATTTTGATTTTCCCAGATTGCTTTTTCGCAAGAGGAAATCTCGAGATTCGGTTTTCACATGATATTAAGAATTATCATTAAAGCCCCAGTTTGTCGACAAACCTTAGCTTGATAATTCTTCATATCATGTTCCACGATTCACTTCAACCAGATTCAATAATCGTTAGTTAACTAACCTTTAGTTTTTAGCAGCAACATTTGAGGATTGTAATTGTACAGATTGTGAGGATCCAATAAGTCGGAATACTGAAGGAATATTTTAGAGGTGGCCTTGATGGTGCGGTTTGCTGTATCGTTGAACTCTACGCTAAACTGATACGCTTCGACTTCATCATTAACAAACAGTTTGCTGTCGACAGCATCGTAGTCACAATTCTTACTTCTTTCGCTCTGGTCTTGTTTTGTGCTTATTCGACAAATTTTCGCCAACATTTTGCGGCCAGGGTGAACAGAGAAGTTAAAGTCGCACTTTATTTTTAGTCCGTCCTCTTCACACCTGAACTTGATACCGGAGACGTCCACTGTAAAATAAATTTTCGATTTGTGGCATAGCAAAATATACACTGTGAACGTCCATGAAGTGTAATCACTGATGTGTAATGTGTAATAAACACAAAGTATTAAAAATTTAGGCATTCTGTTTAGCTTAGCCTGAATGAACGTCATCTGCAGTGATTTTATGCGTAAGCGCCTATGCTCTTTGCAATGGAACAACAATGGAAAATTGCTTTGCTCCAGGGGGGTCACTACTAAAGTTTACAGTACTTGCTTAGTGATGAATCAATAGCGTTTGCGCAAAAATCTGTGGGGATGACTTTAGTTCTGTGTGGTATTTTGTAACTATATCCAAATACCTTTGTACTCCGGTTCAAGCAAATGAACACTATGAGTAATGAAATTAACATCCAGAGAACTTGCTACGTATTCTCCTTCATCGTTTTTGTCCACGTTCTTGATAATTAAGCCCCTATTTTTTGTCAAAGCATACTTCATCTTATCTTGCACCAAAACCCTCCAGAATGCTCTATGGACACGCTCCATCATTGCGACAACAGTTCCGTTAAAGATCCACGTCAAACGATCCACACGCGGCATTCCATCGAGTCGAACACCACTATCAAGTGTGATTGTTTCGCCTTTTTTCACGTGATGGGAAAACAAGATCACGCCCTCTTTAATAGCGGAAAAATATTTGTAAACTGGGGCTGGTTGGATAAGAAAGCTAGCTGTATAAAACTGTCCACGGGATTGTGAGTTTTTTTCAAACTTGGCCGCTGTTCCGTATAACCTGAAATAAACCTTACTATTCCTAACTTGGGGATTCTCTTCAATAATTTTTAGCTCTAAAATCTGTACTCTTATTCTTTCAAGCATTTTTTAAACGCTTGAAAAAGGTTATCCAGGCCCAACCAGCCCCAGAAGTATAAATTCCAGTGGAAATAACTTCCAGTACTTTTAACAATGTGAAATGCAGCAGCGTCGGAAGCATCCAGAGATTGGAGGGCACCAGCTTCCAGTGTTAGCAAAACTATGTATATATAGGGACGGTTTGAGTGCAAGGACGCCACTAGTCTGGTTTATATTTATGCTCTACAAAAAGGTTTGGGCATCTGTAAGTGCGCATACATACGGGAAGCAAAAACGGCACCTTTGGGCCCTTTTTTTTTTGGGGGGGGGTGTGCCTCGTACGCCCCTGGTGAAATGTGAATTTTACAAGTTTATCATTATCAGTACCTAATGTGGCAGTCAACAAAAGAAAAAATCCAATCAGAATGATTTCTTTTTTCATTTTCGGTGACCTTAATGAACGAAAAAATGTGTTAAAAATGAGGGAAGTTTGATGTATTAATTATTAATAGTGAATACTGCATAAAATAATTTAAATTGCATGAAATTCGCCGTATATTTTGAGATTTCAAACTATCACTTACATACATAAGCCTGATTACATACTTAAGCGATGTATTGATTGTGCCGGCCGATGACGAAGAAAATTTATTCAAAATAACAAATTACTTTATTCATCAGTGATCACCAACAATGGTCGTCGCCGACCGTCGGTGACATATGAGAACCACTGAACCAGGCTTTAGCGAATACACGCTCGATCTAAAACAGCAGACTAGCTGGTACACTTGTGACATATTGTTAGCTCAACGGCCAACGCATCAGCCGTTTAGAACAATCAGAATATCAGATCATTTTATTACGACTAATTTAAAGCCTGTTTACACTACAGGGTGTCCCAAAAAAAACAAAAACTATTGAAATCACTCATTGTTAAAATTTGAATGCCGTGTTAACGAATTTCAGCCCGTGGGGATTTAATGCAGCTTATAAAATGCTAAATGCTTTTTGCTGCTAGAGAAAGGGGACATGTCGAAGGACATGGTCCTTGAGATGCACATTTAAATAATGTTATCCATATTTGTAAATTGTAAATATTGTTAATAAATATCATTTTTGCGAACAAGCAAATTTGACTGCATCATGATGCATGCATAAAAATGCTTATGGCAACCCCGATTTATACACTTGTGGGCCCAACAGAGTGCTTAGGCATTCAAACTCTAACAATGGCATTGTTATGGGTGATTTCAATAGTTTTCGGTTTTTTTGGGACACCCTGTATAGTAAATTTATTGGCACGCCACGGTTGAAATGGGTAGGCGTACTCAATTTTACTAGTGCTCTGGCTAACAATAAAAAGGTCGGGCATGGATAAATTGGGCACGGGTACTCATTTTAGCCATGCATTGCCAATAAATGCATTTTAGTCGTGGGATACCCTGACCCTGTTGTTAAATTTGTTCAGCAGGCCCATCAATAATCGCACCATGTAACTGAGTCTTTATGCAATTGCTTGGGATATACTTTTCTCAGTTTCCAATTTATGTTAAAAGCATAGTTTTAATAACTAAACATAATCACAAATCATTTCGACTAGTTTTATAAAGAACAACAAGAAGATAAAATTGATTAAAAACAGCAGAATGGATTTCTATTAATTTGACAACCCTTCTGAGCATTGACTGGCTAAAATATGAGCACAAGATTATCTGGATATGTTAAGTATTAAACCTTGGTTACATGTAACCTGATTTTCTTCAAGTACAGTTTCTCCAATAAACATAAAAAATATTGATAAAGGCTTTGTTTGACATTTTTGCCATGGGCCCCATTGTTGACATTTTATCACAATACCTCCTTAAAGAACAGTATATGGCAATAGACAGTGCTGTGAAAGTGGGGTTGGATGACCCACAATACACAAAATGATTTTACATTATATTAAAAACATCCTTAAATTTCCTTGAATTTCCGGACTAATTTGATAGAACCTGATAATTCAGTATTTTTTCACTTTTTCATCTTTACTGAGTGTTCGAAATATATCTTAAAAATACTGAAATTGAAACCGTTTTTTGAGACAAATGTCAAATAATTTCTTAAAAATTCCTTAAAAAAGGAACGTTTCCTCGAAAGTGGAAACCTTGATCGCGCGTGGGTTACACGTATAAAGCACATGGTTGTTTGTTATGTTATTAAAATATGCTATATATTAATTTTTTAGTGATTTCTTACATTATGTTGTATCAATAATGAAGTAAGAGATAAAAGCCGATTGTTTATAGCGATATTGGTCTGTATGTCGGTATAATATACAATTCTAGACCCTCCGTAGGGCGATTTGGCAAAATATTTTAACCACAATGAAGGTATTGTAACGTTGGGCCGTAGAACTGGGTGTGTCATCCGTGTCCCAGGGACCGTTAGCAATAAGCTTAACTCAATCCAAACTCCAACTGAGTATTTCAGGCTTGCACCATCGTCGCGATAGAAATCAGTCCAACACTAGTAAAGCTTTGGAATATATATTTCTTGTCTTCTATTTACAATCCTCTATATTTCTATCTTCTATATCTTTTATATATGTGTGCAAGCGTTTATATAGTGCTTGCATAAGTTAATTATGACGTATTTGGCACGCAAACTATGGTAATACAATCCGCTATAACCAGATAACTGGAGTTCCATGATTACCATAGAAGGCAATCTGCAAGACCAAGTTAGCGCTGTGTTAGCACTGTTCAAGCGCGGTTTCAGCGTTGCGTCACTTTTACTTAAGCTTATATATATAGCTCCTTGTAGCTGCGTTCTAGCGCTGCTAGAATTACGTCATCCGCTATGTCACATAATTCACCATATTATGCAAATGTTATAATATGTAATCTACGCTACATTACCCCCTTCTTAGAGGAAGGCATGTCCTCATGCCGGTAATAAAACTCTATGCTATATAAATCATCCAAGCATGCAATAAAACTAAAAAAATTGTTCAAAGAAATGTTTCAAGTGTTCCAACATTCATTCTACCTCATAATCATCCATCCATACTGGTGGTCGTACAACACGTCGCTGTCGCTCGGGAAGTGCTCGCTCAACTAGGGGTGGTTCAGGCTCGTGATTGTGGTCCGGTTGCAGGAAAACAGGTGGATTATCAGAATATAACAGGTCGGTGTCGTCCGGTACATAAGACCGTTCGCCGTCGCTTTCGTTTCCACGATCAACCTGTTCTCCTACGGGTTTCTGCCGCTTGTCAGAATTCCCTCCGTCTGTTTTCTGCGTTTTGCAAAGTTTCAGCCGATTAAAGTGAACAATTTGCTTTCGTCCGGTCCCGTTCTCGAGCCCGATTCTGTAGTTCACGTCCGAAATTTTGTCTAAGATCACGTAAGGTCCCAACCACGGCTGCATGAGCTTCCTCGACTCTCCTTTCTTCGTTGCTGAATTGAAAAGCCAGACTCGGTCGCCAACACCAAAACTACCACCTACGCCTCGAGCATCATGGTAGCTCTTTTGTCGTTTCTGTGCTTTTTTTAGCTGTTCGCGAGCGAGTTCGTGCGCTTCTTCAAGTCTTCCCCGTAATTCCGCGACATACTTCGTTGTGTCTCTGGGGCGATCTGGAGGGCTTCCGAACATAACGTCCGCTGGCAAACGAATTTCTCTACCGAACATCAGATAGAAAGGTGCAAAACCGGTCGATTCCTGTACGCTAGATCTGTACGCCATCATAACCTTCGGAAGGTGAACGTCCCAGTCTCGCTGATGTTTCTCTACGTACTTGGAAAGCATCGCTTCCAATGTCCGATTAAATCGCTCGATCATTCCATCTCCCTCCGGATGATACGCCGACGTACGTGTCTTCTCTATCCCAAGAAGAAGACAGACTTCCTGAAATAGAGAAGACTCGAAGTTCCGACCTTGATCCGTATGAATCCTTTCCGGCGCCCCGAAACGGCAAATAAACTCGTCGACCAGTTTTTGAGCTACCGTCTGTGCCTCTTGATTCGGTATCGCATAACTCTCCGTCCACTTCGACAGGTAATCACCAACTACCATGATGTACTTATTACCGTTCGTAGATTCCGGAAGAGGTCCAAGGATGTCAATTGCAACGCGTTCCATTGGGAAGCCTGGGGGACAGCTAACCAATGGAGCGCGATGTCCTTTCGTTGCGCCCTTACCCGTGGCACATTTCTCGCACTGTCGCACCCACTCTTCCACTTCGGTGCGCAGACCAGGCCAGTAGAATCGTTCCCGTACCTTCGACAGTGTCTTCGTGACGCCCAAATGTCCCGCCGTCGGATCGTCGTGTAACGCAGTGAGCACGTCTTTCACCAACGATCTAGGTACAACTAACAAAGGTTTCGAAGTTGTTCCGTCTTCGTTCTCCCAACACCGATACAAAACTCCGTCTCGAACTTCAAGGGCTTCCCAGTGGGAGCATAAATTATGTACAGTTCTGCTGAATCCTTGCATGTCTTCTTTCCGTGGAGGGTCTGATCTGGATTCTCGCCAAGACAACACATCTTTGATCACAGGGTCGGCCAGCTGCAACGATCTCAACTCCGCAGCTGTCCATCGCAAACACCAACTCCGTTCTGGACTAACCGCAGCAGTTCCAACCGTGGACTCCTCAGGAACATCGGCAGGATCCGGTGGTCTCCGAGACAACCCATCTGCGTTCCCGTGTCGTTTCCCCGGCCGCGACTGGACCTTGAAATCGAATTCTGCCAACTTCTCCAACCAACGTGCAACCTGTCCGCCTGGTTCCTTAAAGTTCTTAAGCCACCGTAAAGCATCGTGATCTGTTCGTGCAGTAAATCGTCGACCGTATAAATAGTGCCGGAAATGTTGACTATAGAAAACTAGAGCCAGCATTTCCCTCTTCGTAACCGAATAGTTCCTTTCAGATTTAGTAAGTGTCCTGCTCGCGTATGCAATCACCCTTTCTTCGCCCTCTTGAACTTGAGATAGCACAGCGCCAATTCCCAGGTCACTTGCATCCGTATCGAGAATAAATTCCAAATCGAATTTCGGGTAACTTAACACGGGAGCGTTCACCAACTTTTTCTTCAAATCACCGAAAGCACGATCGCAAGCCGTAGTCCACACGAATGCTTTCTCATTTCCAACAGTCAGTGCGTGATGTAACGGGGAAGCTATCGCCGCGAAATCTTTGATAAACCGCCGATAATAGGAAGCTAATCCCAGGAAGCTACGTAACTCGGTTTTGGTCAGTGGTACCGGCCATTGTGTCACGGCATCTATCTTGCTGGGGTCGGTTGCGACCCCCTCCTTAGAGATGACGTGGCCCAAGAACGGTACGACTTTCCGAAACAGTTTACATTTCTGTGGTTTCACCTTCAGTCCTGCTTCACGAAGTCTTGTGAATACTTCTCGTAACCTTTCCAGATGTTCTTCGAACGTCGTACTGAAAATGATGATATCGTCCAAATAAACCATACACGTGGACCATTGTAATCCCGCTAAGACAGACTCCATTAATCGTTGAAAAGTACTTGGGGCTCCAGTTAACCCAAACGGCATAACACGAAATTCGAACAATCCTTGTGGTGTTGCAAAGGCAGTTTTCTCTTGATCCGATGGGTCTACTTCAACTTGCCAATAACCGCTAGCAAGATCGATAGTGGAGAAATACTTAGCCCCACCTAAAGCATCAAGGGTCGAGTCAATCCTCGGCAACGGATAAGCGTCCTTTCGTGTGACGTCGTTGAGGCGACGATAATCAACGCAAAATCTAGTGCTACCGTCTTTCTTCTTTACTAGAACAACTGGGGAGGCCCAAGGACTTGAAGAAGGTTCTACAACGCCATCCTCTAGCATCGACTTTAAATTCTTCTCCATCTCGTCCTTCTGATGGAAGGGGACTCGTCTTGGGGATTGTTTAATAGGAGCAGCGTCACCCGTGGGAATACGATGTCTTACCCGGTTTGTCCTACCCAAGTCTGACGAACCTTTCGAAACTACGTCCTCAAAATCGCTCAAAAACTCCTCCAACTGCAATTTTTGCGAACTGTCTATGTCCGTGTTTTCCAAATTAAACAGTTGAGTTAATGTTGTTTTAGGCGATTTTGACGATTTAGCTTTCCTACGAACAGACTTCACTTGGTAAACCTCCGAGTTCGGTTCTACAGGATTCTCTACGTTTGCTGGAGAAAACGTCCCAAGGGTTGTGTCTCGGTATATGGTGACTGGGTCTTGAGAAGGATTTAATAACCTGACAGGCACATGGTTATCCCGTGGCTTTGTTACTATTCGGGCCACCAGAATTGAGTGCTTAGAAACGAATTCTGGGCAGGGCTCTATTATACCAGTGACCTCGTCACTAATTGCCCCGACATTTGCTGACATGATCATCTCATGTCCACCCGGCACCGTAACCGTCTCCGCCAACCTAACCCGTTCGCATGTCCCACCTTCCTCAAACCTATTCCCCATAGAGACTTCCCTACCTCCAACGTTAACCGAACTCACCTCAAAATTAATTTTACAATCATACTTAGCCAAGAAGTCAACACCAATCAAGCAATCCTGAGTAATATCACTCGCCACTAGCACCGTGTGATAAACATCAACACCCCCTAGACGTATTCTAAGTTTACACGTTCCTAGGATTCCTAATGGCTGCCCGTTTGCTGATACAACCCTTTCCTGTGCTTTAGACATCCCCTCACCCTGGTTAACCCTATCCAATAGTCGCTTATGTACGAGAGTTACAGCAGAACCCGTGTCTAAAAGCATGTCTACCCTGACATTTCCTATCCACCCAGGGACGTAAACGCTGGCGCTTTCATTGACCCCGTACGACCCTAATAGTGTAGGTTTTGACACTTCTGCACCCCTTTCCCGGCTCTCATTGGAACTTGTTTGCTGGGTCTTGGATGAATCATTGGCTGACGCGCGACCCGCGGCGCCAGCCAACCCTAGTTTTCCGGCTTCCCGCTTGGTAAATCTTGTGTGGGGCATTTCGCTTTAACATGGCCCACACCACCGCATTTCCAACAAGTAATTTTGCCCTTGGACTTAAACCCTGGCTTATTACGGCTATTTCCATCCCCAGATTTGGCGCGCTCGCTTAGCAAATTGACGGCCTTCTCAAGCGCAGCAGTTTGCTTGGTGAGCATCTCGGAGATGCGCATCTCCGCAGATTTCTCGACCGTTTGAACCCGAGACGATTTGCCACGGTTCTGGCCAATTTCCGCCTCGTAAATTGCCTCAAGTTGAATCGCTCGACTTAAACATTCATCGAACGTCTTTGGGTTGCCTTCCCTAACACGTATGCGAAGGTCCGTGCTATCCAAAGACGCGATGAAGCGATCCATTGTCAAACGATCAAGAATCTCCGCTGGTGCGCCAGGAAATGCTTTCCTAGCCATTTTACTTAAGTTGGACGCAAGTTCGCTTAGTTTCTCGCCCGGCGTGCGCCGTCTAGCCTGAAATTCAGCCTTATACAACTCTAGACGCTCCACAGGCGCAAATTTCTTGCCGAGAGCTTCCGCGAGACCGTCGAATGTTCCATCCTGAACTTCGTCGGACAAAGAGAAGTAGGTTTCTTGCGCAGCACCACGGAGACGAACTGCCAAGAAATCGCGTTTCTCCTCAGGGCTCCACTTATTTAATTTCGCGCAATTATTGAAATACTTAAGCCAAGAAACCCAATCCTCTTTGTCTCCGGCCCCGAAAGCTTCCGGCATGACGGCTACCTTATGGTGCGTCGTAGTTGGCGCGCTGCCTCCACTGCTACTGGGCTGATCCGTAGACATGCTGCTTCCCTACGCAAACTTAATTACGAACTTAATAAACACAAGAGAATGCAAATCTACACAACCGAATACCAAAGGACACCTCCCGAAAGGCGAACACACCACCAGAGCTCCGAAACAAACCAGTTTTGGAACTACAGTAAAGCCCCAGCCCAAAAATCGTGACTAAGCACTCACAGTTTTTGTAGTCTTGGTCTTTCTAGGCTGCTTCTGGTTTTCTGGATCCCACCGCTGCCACCAATGTAACGTTGGGCCGTAGAACTGGGTGTGTCATCCGTGTCCCAGGGACCGTTAGCAATAAGCTTAACTCAATCCAAACTCCAACTGAGTATTTCAGGCTTGCACCATCGTCGCGATAGAAATCAGTCCAACACTAGTAAAGCTTTGGAATATATATTTCTTGTCTTCTATTTACAATCCTCTATATTTCTATCTTCTATATCTTTTATATATGTGTGCAAGCGTTTATATAGTGCTTGCATAAGTTAATTATGACGTATTTGGCACGCAAACTATGGTAATACAATCCGCTATAACCAGATAACTGGAGTTCCATGATTACCATAGAAGGCAATCTGCAAGACCAAGTTAGCGCTGTGTTAGCACTGTTCAAGCGCGGTTTCAGCGTTGCGTCACTTTTACTTAAGCTTATATATATAGCTCCTTGTAGCTGCGTTCTAGCGCTGCTAGAATTACGTCATCCGCTATGTCACATAATTCACCATATTATGCAAATGTTATAATATGTAATCTACGCTACAGTATTTTCATTAGGGGAAATCCCTGGCCCAGCCTAGTCTGCCTAGAAATGTCATTCGCTTCGAGTCTAAATCCTAAAATATATATTTTCCTTGGTATCTATAGAGCTGTATCTTTTCCATCGTTCTGCTAATGCATGGGCACAACGTGTATCTTGAAATTAAATCTAAAACTTACGATTAATAAAGTAAAAAGTGATTGGACTTTGATACATGAATGTCATATATGGTATCATTGGTATGGCCAAGCAACAAGCCAACGTTGGTTATCTCCGACCGAATATTAAAACAAGATCACCTCATAATTTAACCTTCTGTCATCAGAGCACAGTCGTGTAACGACATAAGGAGGGCGAGCCATAACGAATCAATGAAACGCCGGAGTTTCAGCGTGTTTCAACAATTTTTTATACGTATAATTTGACACTCACCGATTTCGATTACCGTATGATGAAGCCTTTCGTATAACCTTGCTACTTTTCCGTTATATTGTACGGTTTTACCACACTTTGGTAACTTGTTATCCGCTTGAACTTGTCACCGACAAAAAAGACTATTATTTCACCTAAAGTATAAATTTGGAGTTGAAATAAACTTTGATAAGAACAGCTGAACAGCAGCATATAAAAGTTTGCATGAACACAGACAGACATCCGTTCTGTTGGGCTGGGCCTGTTTAATCATGCCTTCGGTGCAGTTCGCTGGTTAATCCAATAACCGGTTGATCACGGATTAATCCGGTTTTCAACTAAAGCCTGTTTTCCATTTGCAATAATTTTCATATAATTACTCTGGTGAGCGACGGAGTTGAAAATTCGCCTAGGGTTTTTTTTTGTTTTTTTTTTATTATTTTTCGTCGTCGCATGTGTGTTTTGGCGCGAAATATACTAGTATTTGAAAAGTGTATCAGTATGTCACCGTATTTATCTACGTCACAGTTTTGTCTCCCAAGAGTTGTGGTGCACGCGATTTCATTTTGCTCATCCATGCACGTTTTTGCCCAGAATAACCTGTTTAGTAATATAGTAAGGATAAAGTGTATATGTAATGTTATCCAAAGTTGAAGAAAAAGACTGGTGGACCCTCAAATTGCCTTCAAAGATCGCGACGAAGTTTCGCTGCAGCTTATATAGAGTTCAGTGACTCATACCCACGGTTTGAAATTTATCAGCAGAGCCATTCATTTCAAAACTGCGGAAAATCAAATTAAAACGATTTATCAAAACTGATTTCTGAAAAAACAAATTCAACTTTATTCACATACCTCATGGGAGGATTCATAAGGATTAGATAAGCCATTGTGTTAACAATAAGAGCCCTTGCCTGACATAGGCCCAGCTCTCTACTACTCGTTTTCACGGCCAAGACCTCGGTCGAGCCTGATTTTCCTTCAAAGGTGAAATTTAAAGCTAGGTCTAGGCCAGACTTGGCTCTTAGTGGAAACACCGTAGCTGAGTACATTAACTTTACGACTTCGTCTTCGAGGTCGTCAAATTACTTTATATAATATGGCAACAAAACAATTTTTGTGTAGTTAAAACAAACGTTGACATTTCTTACAGAGTCCATTTACAGAGTTTTTATCTCGCTTATATTACAAGAAATAGAAACAAATAGATATAATTATTTAACTTCACAAGCAGGACCAAGGATGCTAGATTTTTCAATAAATTTGCGAAAGTATTATAACATATAAGCTTTTCTTTCGTTTTGAAAATTAAAGAAATCAAATGCCCCTTTATAATGTTGATTTTTTTATCAATAATCCACCAACTATAAACAGGACAGGTTGAATTGCTTTGAAACTTGCACTTTTTTGGTTTAGGAACAAAATAAAAATCTAGAAAATGATTCTTTAAATATTTCTGGCCGACGAACCAAACATTGACAAAAATAATTTTTACTGCCCGTGCATTTTCAACCCAATCGAAAAACCATCTAAGATTATACACGTATAGTAAACTGAGAGGTCTGCAAACAACTAGCCTTCCACAAGTTTTTATCCCAATGCTCGAGTATGTTTTCAAAACCATACTAGGGCAATTAATTTGTTATTAAAATTTTTCATAGGTACTTTAGTTAAAATTGAAGTTTAAATTTATATAGCAAATTTCATATAAAATGTATAATGCAAATTCGTGCAGTTTCCACATTGGAACATCCTTTATATAAACAACATTGTAACAAGGCTAGTTTCCAAGTTATTACATCGCGAAACAAGAAGTAAAGACGAACAAGGAGGCATTTCGATTCAGCTAATCAGCAAATTTGTTTTCATTTTCAATAACCCAATCAGAATGCATAGATATTGATAACTTCCGGTAAAAATTACATTATTTACTGTTTTACATGAAGTTTAAAAAATTTAGGCATTCTGATTGGCGTAGCCATAAAAATGTTAACAAACTGGCCGATTAGTTCAAAACGAAGTTCCTCCTCGTTGTTATAGGGCAACTTGTTTGCAGACCTGTTAGAATTAATCCAGGTCAGGCTAACTAATGTTTAAGCACAGTCTCTGTACGCCTGTCTGTCAACGGAAAGCTCTAAATCATGCTCGTGGGTGTATGTTGCGGGTGTATTAAGAGTCCAGGGAACCTTTGTTTTACAAACCAACAGGTCAGAATTATTTCGTTGTACAATATGTTCACAACTTTGTGCCTGTGCTTTGTATTTCTCCAATTTGTATCGCACAGAGAAGATTTTTTTAAAGTTACATTTGTCTACACAATAATTCTAACCTGTTCGAATATTAATGTTCATCTACTCGAATATAATTGGCTGGTTGCTTCAATATGTCTTGTTATGGGAGAAGTTTCGGAACTGATCTGATAATACACTGGATAACCATCAAAATCGAAGTGAGAATTTATTAACGTCCGGAACCCCGATTAAAACGAATCGATAATTCACGCAACCCCCGGGACAGGTCTCAGGCTCTTTTTGTTTAGTTTGAATCATGTTATAAATCAATCCTGATAACAACGGCCGTGAAGCAGTATTTCTCTCGGTTCTGCAGGGACTTCAGTTCATTAATACTGACTTGTTGCCATATCCAGTATATTATCAGATCAGTGAGGAGCAAAAGAGTCTTAAAGTTCCAGTTACATGTGCCCCAGGCAGTGTCATACAGCGACTATGCATGGTCTCAGCTATGCCGGTCTGATCGGCTCCTCATCTTCTTTACGATATCTTTCATTTTTATACTATATATACTGTACATGCATGCATATGCTGGTTAAGATATGCCATAGTTTACTTCACATTTTTCTTCTCGTATATTTTAGCGTCCGAGACATCTTTCAAAATACGTCCCATTTACATAGCCCCCTCGCATTGCTTTATTCACATTCTGTTCAAACAACCTTCTGTTGGACCGTAATACTTCAGCTGCATCTATAAGTGGAAAACAAGAAAGAATTTTGTTTTAGATTAATCAGAAAATTTAACATCAAACATGGTATAGGAACGGCCTAAAATAGACAAAAACACTTCTCAACGTTTCGACCTAACTCTCCTCATGGAGGCCCTCAGGTCAAAACGCCGAGAAGTGTTTTTTTCTATTTTAGGCAGTTCAGTGGCGGATCTAGGGGCGTGCAGAATATATTACAAAGCTTATAACAACGCTATTGGTTATAGATTTGAAAAGAATATTTTTACATTAAAATCTGCCAATACGATTCCGATTTTAGCTGTAGTAATTTATTCTGCACACCCCAAGATCTGCCACTGGGCAGTTGTTATACCACATTTGATGCTAAGTTGTTTGAAGACGCTGCCACGCTGCTCCCTGGTTACATTGGAACGTAATCGAAAAATTTGTTCACATTTTCAGTAACCCAATTAGAGTGCATAAATATTGACTGCTTCCGGTAAAAAGTAGATCATCAACCATTTTACACAAAGTGTTTAAAATTTAGATATCCTGATTGGCTTAGTCTTAAAAATGTACACAAACTTGCCGATTAAACCTGGTTTTCATCACTCGCAGATAGTCGGCGCCGATATCAAAATTACGACAGATGCCGAGCATCGTAATTGGTGAAAACCGCTCATCGTAATGAATCTGCGACTGTCCCTGACGATCGTAGCAAAACAAAAAAATTGTTTTGTTACGACGATCGGCGTTTGTCGCAGATAGGCTGCGACTAATGAAACCATGAAAACCGCATTGACGGACTTCGCTGACAATCGTAAAATGCTAATCATCCTAATTTCGAACCCAGTGTTCTAATTTGTCAACTAATCATCCTAATTTCGAACCCAGTGTCCAAAATACACGAAGAACCGACAGATTGCGTTGATGAAAACCGCCTTTCTGCGATACTCGCCGACTGCTACGAAGTCAGTATCGCCGAGCATCGGCGTCTATCTGCGAGTGGTGAAAACCAGGCTTTAGTTTAAAACGAAATTCCTCCTTGTTTTAGAGGAGTGAAGAGAAATCATAAAGCTCCCGAAGCAAAAGAGGGCGTTTATCACTCGCACAAAATTTAGTTAAGAACTCAGTACAATCGCAATGTCGAAGTGCTTCATACAGGAACGTAATGAAGGTCGGGTACTGGGGATGTCGCACAAGCAATTTTATCCCAAACAGTATTCCTAAAAGTCGAGCTTGTTCAGTTGAAATAAAATTCTTTAATACACCGTTCGGTTATTTGTCGGAAAAATATTCGGATACTTCCTGCATGGTGTAAAATTTGGCTCGACAGGTAAAGTACGGCCCTGGAATTGATGGGACAAACAAACGTTTTAAAACTTTAAAACGTCTTCAAGATCAACATGCCTCCATATTTTAAACGATCGTAACTATCAGATCACGTTTTCGAAGGTAATCTACTCGATCACACAACGCGTTCATCATTAAATGCAGCCTTGCATAAAGGCCTACATTTCTTTTTACAGAAATCACGTTACAATTTTCATCACATACCTTTATTGAGAGGGTCGTCGGGGTTAGGTTCCTGTGAAAAACAAAATGAGGCGAATTTTTAGTATTGTAGAATGAAACTATGTAAACTGTGTAGATTCGGCTGTTCCATGCAGTCATATAAAACCAGTGAAATCTATTTAGTCTGGAACGAATACAGAGTGGTATTTGACCGCCATCTTTAACGCTTATTTGAAGCCGAAGTAAGGAGTTCCAGTCCTTTTCTATCGTTTTTGTCGGCGCGATCGTCAACCGTGTTGACAAAAACAATAAAATAGGCAGGAATTTCTTCCTTAATTCGGATTCAGAGATGTCAGCCGAGTATCGCTCCAATTCATATAGAGTTTACTGAATAATATAAAAGTAATAAAACTAATAAAAAATAAATGCAACAGAGGCAACCAATTTAAACTAGTGGTATTAGCGAATAGTCCTCATCAGTTTGGTTTTGTTCAAAGTGAACTTTTATGGTAATGCCAAGAGGATATTCATCTCTATAAAAAATCTTCGACATTTATTGTAATGTCACAATTCTCAGTGTCATTTGCACATTAAACGAAGTTGAATATTGGAAGCAGCAAACGAGATACAAAAAAAATACAAAGATATATAAATTTCTCTTCACATGTATCAATTTTGTCGGATCCAATTCACTTCTGATCGATGTTCTTGTCGGCTGACTTGCAATTTACATGCTTGGGCAGCAAAACGAGCTACTGTAATTAACTTGAAGGAAATGCAGTACTGCTTTATCAATAGGGCGATTTAGCATGAGTACGTGAACGTCAAAGACGACGTGAAAATGGCGAGTAAATGGTGTGATGTGCCCAAATATGGACATACCACGCCATTTACTCGTCATTTTCACGTCGTCTTTGACGTTTACGTCCTCATGCTAAATCATGCTAATAACAGACTACATTCCATACGTCAAAAATGAATTGCATCCGACAAATTGGAACGTGTGAACGGACCTAAAGTGTTTTTCTTGCAATGTTGCCAAGAACACTTTTGGTGCATTCTCATTGTAAAACAGGTTTAAATTAAGCAAAAAACGTGAGAATTTACTGTACCAGAAATAGATATTGAAGACCATAAATGATGGAGTTAATCGTTAACACTGGCTTCCAGTCTTCCCTGGAACACAATTAGAAGATATTTATACCATGTGATTATATCAAATTGCAGATCATCCAAGATGATTCGGGAGATTTACAGGCCAATTTTCAGACCATCGCTGTATCCCGGCATGAGGAAAAACGAGGGAGCTCTACGTACTGTACATTCAATAAGGTTACATATACTGTATGTTATATTGCAAGCTTAAGGTAAATGACGCACGTTGATTAGCTGCCAATTAGTCCGATAAAAAGCCGGCGATAACGACAATAACCGGTCGTGTTGGACCGCTCAAATAAAAATGGGAAAAAGTTATTTTTAAAATGTTCCAATACTAAAAAAAATATTCACGCGAATTTTATCGCCCTGACGAAACAAGCGATAAATTGATAAAAATACTTTTTATTAGCAAAAATGGTATCAACTAGGGGGTTAGGGAAACATTGATCAGCAGTTTGTATAAATCTGAAAAATGTTTTACTCAACAAAAACGACTACAAACTGCTTAAAAACCTTGTTTGCTCAGTCTATCCAAGAACAAGCAGCCTGCTCTGGCGTTAACTCCGACGCGCGTGTCAGTCTTCAATAGAAAGCTTCTGAACACATTAGAAGCGTTGCGAACCCTAAATGTTGTTCGATATTCAGACAGCAGCACATCGTACTTTTATAAAGTATAGAGGTGAAAATTGTAAATAAACGAACAGTTTTTTTGTATACATCGTAGAGGATTAGCCGCGTATATTATGTGAGCAAATCAAATCGCCCATCGAGAAATTGCTCCAAGATTCGATAAACACACCACAACTATTGCGAGACAAAACTTTAACGTAGATAAATACGATGACATACGATCTTCAGTGAACGTCGGGTAAAAAAATATTCGTCAGCACAAAAAGACTCGGTCAGATATTCCTTTGAATGCACCAACCTCATGCACGACCTGGCAAACTCCCTCATTGTTAACGAGTGGCTATAGCCATTATAACATGTACAACATTAAAACAGACAATAAAAGCTAAGGATACCTCAAAATGTTTAGGCAAATATTTCCTTCGAGATCAATATTTGGATGATAAACCTGAAGAATGAAAAGCGGGAAAAATATTATCAATCGGGTACCCGTTGTACAAAAGCCGGAAAGCGCTATCCACCGGATGATGATTTTTACCACTGTTTTAAGCATGCTTGCTTGAATAACAATGAAATTACAGTTTTGGAGCTAACAGTTAGGAAAGAGAACCGGTGGATATAGCGCCACCGGTCCCTGCATCATATGAGACCTCTAAATTTTCATCTCTCAATTTGATTTTAAATCAAGTTTTTGATGATAGCTACTGTAAATAAAGTTAAAGATTAAAGATCATCAGGAACATGTCTCACACCCAAACTGTTCATTTTACAGTTGAAGAAGTTGAAGAACATCGATTCCCAGTATTTTTCCAAAGGCCGGCCACCACTTGCATGCACGTACGTACGCGCTGAAATCGCACGTATACGGCTTGCGCGTTGACGGCAGTCTTGAAAGTAGAATACAGTTCTACTGTCATGCATACGTGAGTGACCAGTTTCGAGTCACCGAGCATACGCCAAATCGGCCGCACTGACAGTACGTGCAAGTGGAGGACGACCTTTAGTGGTGATAATAGTGGTTCACTCTAAAGCTGGTAAAGTTGTTTATGGCCGGCGTATATATAAAGTGAGTAAGACGTGTGTGGTGTTCTCCCTTGAAAGATCGCACAGCATTCGCCATGCGGAAACGTAAACGTAGTTACACGTACTGTAGTTAAAATAAGTTAATAAATCACAAACCTTTGTTTCACACTTTACTTTTGGAGCATCGTGAGGATACCCTTGACCAACCTGAGAAGTTGATGAAAAATTTTACTCAACAATTGCAATTTTTTGAGATAATGCCTTGGTAAATAATATAAAAAATACTGGGGACCTTAAGCATTACAGTGATTAATGTAAAGATGCCATACAGGGGTCGGTTGTATGAAAGCCGGATAGCGCTACCCACCGGATAGTGTTTTTTCAACCGTTTAAATACGTATATATAAACAAAATTTCAGTACGTGTGAACAGAATATGTATATATTCCTATAGGGGGACGTTCCAAGAGATGAAATTTATCTCTCACAACGACTGCGATACGGAAACATGCCCATATTCTGGAGAACTTTAGCTGGAGAACTTTAACAATGTTAATGAGCTATCTAAAGAGTCTTTACTCTCTATATTTGGTTCAATACAATTAAACTGAATCTGGAAGACATTTTAAACGTTGCTGTTGCTATTAATGTATATACTTAATGTAGTTCATGGCTACATTACCTTAAAGCTGAAATCGAAATGACCATTTCTATAAAAGCCCTAGAAAATGAAAGAAAGAATCGTATATTAATGAACGAATTTAAAGCCTACAATCGTGCATGGAAAAGCTGAATATATAGAACAACCTTGGCTGCATGTTAGATCAATGCTATATTTGCCCATTCCTACCTCATCAGGAGCAATGACCAATTTAAAATTCAGCAAATCATCCGGATCTGGAAACTCGATCTTACACGTCTTTGGTAAACTAAGATCATTTATATCTAAACAGATAAAAGATCCTTTAAAATGATGGAAAACGTCCGCAATAGGCACAAACGCTTTGTTTACATATATTCTTGAATGCTATATAGTGTATATATGTCTTAATATAAAGTAAAAAGAAAATTCCGAATAAATACAATCAAAATATAATTCACAAACAAGACACAGATTAACTGCAGTCTTAATCCGTGATTAACTGACACAGATTACTTTGTAATAAAGTCGAAAATTTACAGTCTTAACCCGTGTCTTGTTTGAATTATATTGTGATTCTCAAGATGTCTTGTTTATTCGGAATTTGCTTTTCACTTTACTTTTTTAAATTGTCGGCTGGTCATGGTTTCTATGTCTTAATATGTTATGTGAAAGCTTATCAGATAAAGTTTACTGTCTGCATGAATATCTATTGCAATATTGTTTTGTTTATTTCGCTTAAGCCTGTAAATGATACGAACCAGTGGCGTAGCCAGCTTGTTAAGAGGAGGAGCAAATTCTACATTTTTGATTGATCGCTTTTCACGTTACGTGAACATGAATACGTCCTAGGCTATCCAACTTGTCCTAGGATATCAAGCTCAATGGAATTGGCTCGATGGTATCTGAGAAAAAAGGTGGGTTTTTTTTTCGTAATGGGGAGGCATTTTCGGAGCCATTTTTTGTGGAAGTGCGTGTATAAATATGGGAAATTCTAATAAACCACAAACCAGGTGTGTCCTTAAGTGTGCCACGAAAATCTATTTTGAACAACTCACTTGACCTATAAACACCTTAAGGACTAATACTCTAAGTGCATCCACTGTACTTGTCTTTATTTAAATTAACCACGCTTATCATAGTCAAGTTTCCTCATTTGTAAAGAGATTCATGCAGTGAAGACATACATTAATGAAAGTCTTACCAAGCAAAAGGCAATTTTAAAGCGACTGAAAAAACACTATCCGGTGGACAGCCTTATCCGACCTTTGTACAACCGGCCCCTGGTTTGCAAAAATCCTATAGCGCTTATAAAGAAGTACTGTAATACTGAATATCAAAAGTACATAATCTCGACTGTACAAACTCGTAGGAATTTGGGCCTGAATTTGGAGGTTTTAATGTCTTTACTTTGCCAAAAGGTCAAATTGACCCCGGAGGTAATCTTTTGGTTTTAGGGATAGTTTTGACCATTTTGAATTTACAGCGAACAGCTTTGAATTTGTCAGAAAGACAACGGTACACAATGAATAGTAGCTATAGTTTGAACAAAGTGCAAAGGCAAACTAAGATGTTGTGTGAATCTGGTAGCTATGTAGTTATAATGCAAACCAAGCTGACTTTCAAAGAGCTTATCAAACGTTTTCTACGTGAATGGCATGACTTTATTTATCAGTGTATTGTGATCGCGAAGCATGCTGTATCTTATGCTTCGCGATCACGACGTCACTGAACTCACAGACCAACTGGACTAACTTCTATTATTTCAAATAGTATTTATTGGGATTCCTATGCCTGCACTGGAGTCACCCGTTCTAGTGAATTACCAGATTATTGTCGAGCGTAAGGCTACTGTGGGTGAATGTTGTTAGGTATCCGTAATGGTGAGTCACGCTCATACAGACGCTCTGCTAGAAAAATCTGACGTAATTACAACAGGGGATTAGCCTGTTTAGGATTTCTTCTGTCAACACGAGATGATTCGTGATTTCATCAGTGCAAAGTACTGTCCGCCAGTTTAACCGTATTATCTTAAGGGCTTTCTCCAAAAAAAATCTAGCATCTTAAAATAGATATTATGTATAGCCTTAATTTTGCCAGGTTACAAATGGTTCATCTTCATGTTTTCTGACTGTGAATTTACTTAATTTCCTTATCAAAACCTAAGTGAAATCTTATTTAGGTTCATACTGTGTCTTACAAGAATTTAATTTCAGCTCTCAGCCCTAAAATCACATATTTTATGGCTTTTCTATCTGAAGTCCCGTAGACCTGTGTCAGATGGTGAAGATGGAAGCCTACTGTGCAATAAAATGAATTAGAATATTTAACGGATTTGCAAAGGAGAAAATTGTAATGAGACTAATTCAGTAGATAATTCCTTCTGATCTGAGGGATTTTATTTTATCAGTTTGATGGTGTTGGTTGATGTCAACTAGTAGTTCACACTGCATAAATCTATCAGCATGGCTCAACTAAAATGGGTACCTGTGTGTCCATTTCATTAGTGCCCGGCCTTTGTATTGGTAGTCTCAATGCTAATAAAATTGGGCACAGGTATACGACACTACCCATTTTAGCAGTGCTGTGCCAATAAATTGACATTTGTTGTGTATAGTATTTATATACAGGTATGTGATTCCAAGCACAACATTAGCGTATATTGAGAATTATAAAATCCAATACTTCACACACTGGCAAAGGCCATACCAAAGAAATAATTGACAAAAATAAAAAAAATATGTGGATTGCAAAGATTATACACCTCTTGAAAACAAGTGCATTGTGTTACACATCATACATTGCAACTTAGGAATGGGTAGGCATTAAGCAATAATTGCTGTACCTAGCCTCAAAACATTTAAATGGATTGCCTATGAAAAGAATGCAGTTATAATCTCCAATTATAAGCTCCAGGACTAATGTATAATGTATATGAATTTGTAAAAACATCTTTTAATAGGCTTAATATATTATGTAGATGCTATTAATTGGGAAAAGAACATTGGTAACAGCATTATAAACGTACTAGGCCAAATAGGGTGAAGATTTCATGCAAATTGTAAAGAAGAATTTATAACATTTCAATAAACACTATGGAAATTTTCATCATATACTTGCACTATATATATGATATAAGAGGGATGTATGTGGACAGTGTGAACATTTAGGTAATGTGATGGTCTTTACTGTAGATCAAGAAATGATATTTGGGAGACAATCCTAAGCTCAAAATTAGAGTTATGCAGTACAGTATTCATCTTGGAGATAAAATGGAAGTATAATATACAGTATGGCCTATTTCATTAAATTTGATGAGAAGTAGAACGACCAATATGAGACCTAATCAAAACATATTTGCTTTTGTGATAATTAAAATGAATGAATGAATTTTATATTACATATTCTTCTACAAGGTCATGTGATAAATGTCAATTAAATCAAAATGCTTATTGATGTTAGCATACATTTATAAATGAGAAATTTACTGTATGGTCATTCCCTTATCCTATGACTACCATTAGAATTTACCTGAACATGAGCATTGAGCAGTGTTAATACCACTGATGAACATTACTTCAAAACAAACCATTGCTAATTACTACAGGGATGCACAAGAAGCAATTATGATTTGGGTTTCTGTGAGCACCAAAAAAAATTAAAGCTGTGGCAGAAACTTATACAATACAATTATACTTGAGTACATACCACGTTCTGGTGCACACCCTAATATACTGGTTAATTAGAAAACAATACAGTCACATACCAAGATTCATATTTTGGAATAAGCCTTGACAACAGCATTGTTAATGATTTCTATAAATTGTATTATTATCACGCCTATACTTCAAAGCACGTGTACATTATAATTAACCGTCGTTTTCAAACGACATCTAGGGTAAATTTTATAGTGTTTCCTTAATAGATTAAGTCATAGGAAGATGTTTCCCACAATATATGTATCACTTACGTATACATGTGCTATAAACAAAATATCCGTGCTTAATACTAATCATAACACGCCTCACATAGTTAAACAATACATGGCAAAACGCTTTGCTTTAGGTAAAGCGTTGACGAGCAATAAAAGTAAATTCTGGGAACGGAAGGACGAATTACCAAGACGAAAACACTGACCTTTCGTGATTCTCAACTGGGCTGCCGAAGCTCGTTTTACTCCGCTGCTCTTAGACGTTTCTCCTTCCTTTTTTTGTTGCTTCAGAGAGAATAGCTTAATCATGTCTTTATTTGAATGTAGGAAGCAATTTGCCTAAAAACTGACAACGATATTTACAAAAATACAAAAGAACTCTCCCTGTATACTGGCCAAATTTTTTCCCCGACCAATTTTATATTCTACGCGGTTAGCCGCTGGGCTACATCATTGCGGCGTTGGTGTAACTGATCTCTCTCTGTTCTTTGGAGTCACAACTTACAAGTGATGAACTTTTCTACGGAATTTACGTCGGAAAGAGTTCGATGACTTCGTGCTGACAATGACCTCCGTCATAGTTCCGTCGCAGAGTCGATCTCGATTTCGACGATAGAAAGTAAAAGTGAGATAATCTTTGAAGTCTGTTTACCCTTAGAACATTCGCTGTCATTTTTAGGTATGATCTTTTCTTCCGATGGATTTGAACTTTTGAACTAGTGGATAAATTACGGATGCTAAAATAAGGACACTTAGAGGATAACATAATCTTGTAAACTCAACACTTTATTAACAGACACAAAATTTTGGAGATATATCGACTTTGCGAGTCATCAAACTTACAATTAGCGTGATAAAATTACTGAATGCTGATTGGTCTCCAGCCTCGCCCCGGCGGCTCGTCCAATTTTATCAAAAGTTTCAAACATCGCTCGTACTAGTATTAACTCTGAATTGTGCTAGCAAGCACATGATTATCTATACTAATTAGCTAATAGCTAGTTACAAGCGTGCTCAGACCTTTTATCGAGACGACAGAAGGAAAATGACGTCAAAATTGTTGAGATAATAGGGAGATTTAACAAAAGGATGCGAACGTCATAGACTCCAAGACGACTCGAAAATGACAAAAAAATGGACATGCATGCAACAGTGCCACTCGTCTATATATGGACATGCCACTGCATTAGTCCATTTATTCGCCATGTACACGGCGGACACGTCCTCTTCCACGTTAACGTCCTCGTGCTAAATCTGCTGATATAAAGCAACTCTAAATATATAAAGTCACTGATATGGAGTTGGAAATTATTAATAAAGCGACAAAACAGGTCAACAGAAAAACATATGTTCCTTCACGCAAAGCAAGATATTAACATTTTGAAGTGAAGTGAATTATCAGTTTTCCTATTTCTGGTTTATTGTTGAGTTTTCTGGGAAGACTGGGATTCGAAGTTATTTACGTTCTATTTGCTCATTTTGGTAAACTTTCTAAGAGAGACATGGAACACGATAAAACACTCGTACTCGTACCCTAAAGAGCGGAATTTGCATCATATGCATTCTTATATAGCTCAGTGGGAATTTGGACATTCTAAATTATTCTAAGTATTTTGCGGAAATCTAAGGAATTTTTTTGCATAATCTAAGGATTGGTGAATTTTTGCTCACTCGACTCTCGAGTCTTCCTTTCGAAATTTTGCTATTGTGTTTGTCGTATCAGAGCAAAATGGTGAGTAAAAAATAGCTAAAATCGTTCAAATTTCAATACTTAACGCACAAAAATAAGCTCTAATTAGTTATCTAAAAACTTATTCGTTGGATTTAGGGGAGATTGAAGCAGGATGGCTTGTTTTCAATGTATATTTTTTACTATTTATACTTTGTAGCCGTCCCACAAATCGTTCCAAATCAAAAGAAAACTGGCCAAAAAAATGAAGACGAATAGGCCAATCCCACAGTGGGTGAGGTTGAGGACAGGAAACAGTATCAGGTAAGTTTCCCTCTTGCTCTGAATTCGAATCATGAACGTAGTACTACACATAGAAATAGTTAATTCACCCTATAGAATCGAGAGAGGCACTATTTTTGGTAATATATTTTGGTTGTGTGCCACTGCGAAATTTGATTCATCAGTCTAATCATATTGATCTTGTATTGATGGCCAACAGCTGAATATAAACTGAGGTTGGCAATTTCTATGCTTAAAGCTTGGCATGACAACAAAAGCTTGTTTGAACTGTGATGCCTGGAGGATTGTGGACTCCTAATGAGCCACTCACAAAATATGTGATGCTCTTAAAAGTATTTGTTTAAAAGCGTTACAGTGAGTAAGTGGACTTGTCACTGGTGATTCATTCAATGCAAGGTGAAAATAGGTTGATAACATAGAAGTAAAATGATTATTGTTCTTATGTACAAAAAACTCATGCAATCAAGGAAAATCCATTTCAATGATTGTGGCGACAACTCTATAATTTGCATTGCAATATGAATTGTCGTTTGCTTCACAGAAACAAATTTGCTTTGAAACCGACAGTACCACCATTTAATTTATGAGGCATCATATATTGTAAATTTGGGTGGCACTGATCTGATAGTCTGCTGTTAGAGCAGTTGTGGAAGGGGTACCATTTATGTGGTTTAGAAACACAATTGCGAGGTATATTGGTAACTGGTGAATGAGAGGTCGTGGGATATGACAAAGAGCATCACATATTTCATGAACATTGCCTGTCAAATGGTTTTCCTTTCCTCGAAATGTCTTCCTTTTAAAACCCTGTTTATACTACACTCAATTTATTGGCACAGCTAAAATGGGTACCCATGCCATTTCATTCGTGCCCTGCCTTTATACTGGAGCCTGGACACTAATAAAATTGAGCATGGGTATCCATTTTAGCTGTATTGTGCCAATAAATTGACTGTAGTGTAAACAAGGCTTAAGTCACCTTACACAGTTTTCCAAAACTTGGTCAACTTTCTGGTTTTAAATAATGAATTTATTAATTAAGTTGCAAGGGGAACATTTTAAGTGACAAGTTTTGCTTTTTAGGTACAATGCAAAACGACGTCACTGGAGAAGAACCAAGCTGGGTCTCTGAAGCACTCTGAAACAGACAAATATTTTGATAAAAATGGATGTGGATTTCCTTGTAAATGTTCAATTCTTTGGCATTGAATAAACAAGTTCTATGACCAGATTTAAATTTTCATACTAATTGCTGCTCCCTATTCTTGACAACAGCCTGGGGAGCACATATACCTGGGGAGTATATTGAGTCGATGGCTTGACTTTTGTCATTCGGTAGTTCTGTAGACGCAGGCGGTTGGGTGTTTCTTACCCGCTTGGCAGGTTCTAGAACTACCGCCCACTGAGCTATATTAAAACTCCCGGAGGACTTGCTGCTGCCTCCTGGCCAAATCACGGAGTACTACACAGAGGTGGAACTCGCGGCAAATCTTGTCCCCCTGTTTTTAATGCGCTAGGCTCTGGCAAGTGTTTTTGCACTTTTTAATAAGGAAAATTCGATTTTTTAGCAGAAAAAATGCAATTTTAAAGCGAAGGGTCTTTTGCTCTTTGTTTTTTTGACAAATTTTATTTATCCATCCGACATTGCTCCTTTTGGATTAAAAATGACTGCGATAATACGAATTAAAACGGGAAATACAACTACGAGGAGTGCGATTTTCACACGAAGCTTCTAGAACTGCCAGGTAAAAATTCAAAGTTTGGTATTTCATCTAATAAATGTAGGTCTATCTGACTATATTTCGCCAACATGCAGTCGTATTTTTTTCTAGATGGCGAAACAATCTTCTCAAAGTCAGTTACTTTTGAGCAGACGACATATCAAGACATTGACTTCTACTGTTCAAAAAGATAGCAAGTTAGATGTCTATTAAAAAACGTTTTACCTCGCATACGCAGTTTACTGATATTTATGAACCCTATTATGTCTCCTATGTGTATTATTATTTCACTTTAGACTCTTTGGACCCTCTTCGGGCTGGTGCCCTAATGGAAATTCTAGAACTGAATTATCTACCAGCAGCAGCAAGGTTAGACAATGGTTCTAGAATTATAGCTTGCATATTAGTATAAGAAATTTATGTTATTCATATATAGGTAAGCTTTTATATTACCCCTTTTTTCATTAACTGCTCAAATTATATTCATGTAATTAATCTCAACAAAAAGCCTTGTTCTTGAGTCTATCCATGCAAGGTTAATTCTACAACATTAAAACTCAATGTAAACTGAGGGGAGGTGAGGACACATTGAGTTCATGACCATGCTATAGTTTTAGAGAACAAAATATTTATATTTTTCATTAAATATTCACATCAAAAAATTGGGAACGCTTTTAATCTTCTCATAGAAGCCACACAGAATTGCGTCGATTAGATTGGAAATTGATTTGCATGTCCTTCATGAATATTACAATCATGTATGAGCTGAAATTAATATCGGCTATCTTTAAAACAAGGAACGGGGAATCAAGGAAGGGAACGGGGAAGGGAACGGGGAATGATAAAACCAGGAATGGGAAAAGCCGGAATCTTTAAAACCAGGAATGCGAAAAGCCGGAATCTTTAAAACAAGGAATGGGAAAAGCCGGAATCTTTAAAACAAGGAATGGGAAAAGCCGGAATCTTTAAAACAAGGAATGAGAAAAGCCGGAATCTTTAAAAACAGGAATGAGAAAAGCCGGAATCTTTAAAACCAGGAATGGGAAAAGCCGGAATCTTACGGCCGGAAGTTTGTAACTAAATTAGTAACAATTTCCGCGCGTAATACAAAATATGCTAATTTGACATGGCTATATTTTCCGTATTTTACCAAATTTCGCAGCCAAACTTAGCATTTCCACTAATTCAAGTACGCTCAATTCTTTTATCTGTTATATGGAACATAAACTGCATTCTTTTGTGGGGGAAGGAATGGATGATACATATATAATTACACAAACGATGAAACGAACACAAGGACTGACAAGGTTAGTTTGTAAACAGTTAAATTTGTTGATTTGGTCTCATTCATAAACCTACAAAGTGGAGCTTTGCGCGTTGCTATCTACCGTTTATATCTACATTGCAATTGGAATTGAATAATGTTTGGTTGGAAATGAAAACTTTTTGGATCCAAATTTGAATTTCCAGATTTTCATATGAATTGCATACTGCATGATATAAAATATGCATGAACAACTTCACTAAATACACAATATATTTTACCTTTTCTATATTCAGTACATTGTATTTACAGCTACTTAATATATCAGTATAAATCTATGCGAACAACAATTTTGCTCCATTTAATATATACATACTAAGCTTATTTTGCAATATATATTTGTTATAGTTCATGGTAACAGCTTTTCATTATTGGATCAGATTACCCCTGAACAATGCACTACACTTTTTGAACAATGCACTACACTTTTGTTGTCCCAAATATAACATGATTTTGCTTGTAAGTAAATTGTATAGAAAATAAAAATATTTTAGTGCATTTGGTACCTTAATTGACTCAGATTATAATTAAACAGTTACTATTCTCACCCAAGGTTTTAATGACTGGAGGCAGATTAAAAATATACAATAATAATCTGTATAAGTAACTAACAGTTGCAATCAATTAAAATCTTGGCTATTTGAGAGCAACTTTGTGTTGGGATGGAATTTTGGTATATATCCTATTGTTGTTTTCATACTGTAGAGTAGATTTATATTAAGTAGCAGCAAATACAATGTACTGGTAATATTCCAAAATTAAACGACATATCTCAATTCTTTTATCTGTTATATGGAACATAAACTGAATTATTTTGTGGAGGAAGGATTGGAGGAATATATAATACATGTATAATTATATATGCAAACAACAATTAATTTTGCTGCACTTAATACATTATTTTGCACTATACCGGGTGTCTCAAAAAAACACAACCGCTTAAATATGCAAGAACATTAATACAGCTCTAAAGTGCACCTCTGGGAATTGAAAATGGCTCTTAATCCTTCATTTAAAATGCTAAAAAAATGCTAAACGTCATTTTAGCTGAACTATGGTGCAAACCCGAACAATATTATTGCATATTTAACTGGTTGCGTTTTTTTTTGAGACACCCTGTATAGTCATAGTTCATAGTAAAAGCTTTTCATATTGAATCATGCTAGCCTAGAAAACCACAGCTATGTTTTCCCTACACAATTTCTAAAGCATTTTTATTTGAATAAATTATTTGTAAAAGTAAATGCTGGTTGGAAATTATACTCTTCTAAACAAGACCTAGGGTATATTCCAAAATTCCATCCCAACATAAAGTTGTTCTCAAAGAGCCAAGATTTTAATTGATTGCAACTGTTAGTTACTTACAGATTATTATGTATATTTTTAATCTGCCTCCAGTCATTAAAACCATGGGTGAGAATGGTAACTGTTTAATTATAATCTGAGTTAATTAAGGTACAAAATGCACTAAAATATTTTTATTTTCTATACAACTTTACTTACAAGCAAAATCATGTTATATTTGGGACAACAAAAGTGTAGTGCATTGTTCAGGGGTAATCTGATTCAATAATGAAAAGCTGTTACCATGAACTATGACAAATATATATTGCAAAATAAGCTTAGTATGTATATATTAAATGGAGCAAAATTGTTGTTCGCATAGATTTATACTGATATATTAAGTAGCTGTAAATACAATGTACTGAATATAGAAAAGGTAAAATATATGTGTATTTAGTGAAGTTGTTCTTGCATATTTTATATCATGCAGTATGCAATTCATATGAAAATCTGGAAATTCAAATTTGGATCCAAAAAGTTTTCATTTCCAACCAAACATTATTCAATTTCAATAGCAATGTAGATATTAAACGGTAGATAGCAACGCGCAAAGCTCCACTTTGTAGGTTTATGAATGAGACCAAATCAACAAATTTAACTGTTTACAAACTAACCTTGTCAGTCCTTGTGTTCGTTTCATCGTTTGTGTAATTATATGTATTATCCATTCCTTCTCCCACAAAAGAATGCAGTTTATGTTCCATATAACAGATAAAAGAATTGAGCGTACTTGAATTAGTGGAAATGCTAAGTTTGGCTGCGAAATTTGGTAAAATACGGAAATATAGCCATGTCAAATTAGCATATTTTGTATTACGCGCGGAAATTGTAACTAATTTAGTTACAAACTTCCGGCCGTAAGATTCCGGCTTTTCTCATTCCTGGTTTTAAAGATTCCGGCTTTTCTCATTCCTGTTTTTAAAGATTCCGGCTTTTCCCATTCCTGGTTTTAAAGATTCCGGCTTTTCTCATTCCTGTTTTTAAAGATTCCAGCTTTTCGCATTCCTTGTTTTAAAGATTCCGGCTTTTCGCATTCCTGGTTTTAAAGATTCCGGCTTTTCTCATTCCTTGTTTTAAAGATTCCGGCTTTTCTCATTCCTGGTTTTAAAGATTCCGGCTTTTCGCATTCCTGGTTTTATCATTCCCCGTTCCCTTCCTCGTTCCCTTCCTCGATTCCCCGTTCCTGGTTTTAAAGATAGCCAATTAATATCTGGTAGCATTTACCATTTGTGTGTGAAGTTGGATTTATGCTCATGTAAAAAGTATTGTATATATAACTAATATAAGTAAAAGTTGCATTTGTTTATTGTAAATCCTTTGAATTCAAGTTCAAGATTCGAATAAAAAACATGTAGTTTTTGCTAGTTTTATGGCAAAATAAATTATTTTCAAAGAAATCTTTTCGTGTGTTTGAATTGTAGAAATAACACATCAATCATGCTTGTTTTAAGATCAGCTCAGATGTTTTCTGGATGGAAAAATAACTGCCTAATTTATAATCGGCGAGACGGCGACGATGTTGGCAATCAGCTTGATATTTATAAAGAAAATCATTCGTGCTTGTATTTCTTATCTCTTTAACCTAACGCATTTATTTTTTACAAAAACACAACCATTTACCGTTCGTTTTTAAAATTTAGGCGCAAAAATGGAGATCGTTAGAGCAGCTTTAAAATATTAACATTTTTCGTCTTTCGGACACCTTTTTCCCCTATAAACTTACCTTAGAGTCAAAATACACTTGCCACTTGCCAGAGCAATTTGCGCGGCGCGTGGAATGGCGTAGGCAGGGGGACAGCAACATCAGAGAACAGAGAACACATCAGAGGGTTCCACTTCCGCCGCGAGTTCCATAACTGTATATTATCATAAAAACTGTGTCAAATGTCAAAGGGTCCGCGGTTCCGCCCCGAGTTCAACAACTGTATATCATATTGTACATCATTAAACTGTGTCACAGGCGAAATCACAGGCGAAATCACAGGCGAAATCACAGGCGAAATCGTGTCGGCAAAAACATTGTCGCGATGAAGCAGTCCATAGAAAAGCATTCGGATGAAAATAATAGTGAGAACGATCTAGAAAGTCTTTTTGCAGAAATAAGTGATTCCGATGACGAACACGAAGAAGAAGATGAAAACGAAGATGGCGGATTTTGAGCTTTGCTGACGCCTCTCATTCGGCTGTTATTTTATAGCATCAAGGTAAGCTGGTTTTTATAACAATTTCAGTTTTTTGCCTTTGGACTGGAAAATAAACTGATTACCAAAGGTTCTGAGCCATATAAATCGATCAAAACTTATGGTACAAACAGCAAATATACTATTTTAATTTTAGACCTTTGGTACATGTGCAATGTTATATAGCCAAACGTTATCTTTTTTCTTGACTTGTGTGGGGAAGGAATTAAATTCCTGGCTATGTCAATTGCTGAGTTTGGTCTATTTTGTTTTCATGATAGCAAACAATAGTGTAAATAGGTAAACCTTCTCCCCAGTGAGTCTACTAGATTCAAGCATTAATTAACATGATCTGACTGACAAAAGTGCTGAGTGGGTGCTGATACAAAGTAATAAGATTTTTGCTGCAAACAGTGTAAATTTCAACCTCTGATGATGGTGACTGTTAAAACCTTGTTTATATATTATCTTGTTTGCCTTGTCAAATTCAAATCAATTTATCAATTATCATAGCTTATAATTAATTGATTTTTTAACTTCCTGCACCTGGTGAATAAATCTTGATCAGATCTCCATTTATATTTTTCAGGATGAAGATGCTATGAAATAAAGCAGGCTAGAGCTCATTAATTGTCATGTAATTTGCTGGAACACTCAACTGAGATATATTAAACACATTATACTCATTGTTATGAATCTGCATTGTTATTCTTAATATGTTGTTGGCTGGTATTTTTATAACCATTGTTATATTTATAAAAGAAATAAATATGCACATGCATTGACTGAGCAGTGTATCTTCAATATGCAACCACTTTTATAATTTTCTGTATATGGTATCAAACTCAAGAGGACTAAATTCATTAGGCTAATCAGGAGTAATTCAGTCTATGGAGGAATGAATATTATTCATTAATAAGACCAGGGGTTCAAGGCTGCAATTAGATAATATTGAAAACTTTTATAGCCCATTGAGGTACAATTAAGCTAATGACCTGTAATGAAAAGTATACTATGCAAATATGACTATTTATATATAAGACTCGCCAGCACTCCCCTTGTGAAAATAACTACCGGTGTAAAATTATCTGTCAGGGGAGGGGGACATTGCACATGCTCTTGTGGTTGGGCATTTTCAAGCTTTTTGTCTCTGCATATCTGTGGCTTCGACACTAGAAGATGCCAAGATGGCTATGTTTTTTTTTGTTTTTGACAAAGTGAATTTCAATGGCCAATGCTTTACTTCCACCACAGAGAATCATGGTTGGGTGAAAGTTATTTGCTCACCCTTGCTCCCACAAGATGGTATTTTACCTTTTCCTCTTGATTTACTCCCTTGTTGTTTTAGCATATAACTTCAATTTATAACTTCAAGTTGAGATCATTCAACTGTTCAATACATTATCCCTATATAAATTTACATTGCTGAAAAATGATATTCAAACATCAAACTGCTCTTAAGCTATACTAAGGTGTATGTGAGAATAGGTAGGATTTTTCAACTATAGTCTATAGTGTAATTATTGTGCAATATCAACTGAAGATCCTTTAGCTCAGCTGGTATAGCCCTCGTGTGCAGCAGGGTTTAAACATTGTCATAGCGACGCATTTATCGCAACCACAGTTAATAGTTCTATTATTAACTGTAGTGCAAGTTGTGCCAGCGTATTAAATTGGAACGAAAGGGAAGCCAATGGAATGCAATATCTAGCTCTTGCAAGTTGCAAGTAACATATACTTTTGCCTTCCGACATTTTATTTTTAGGCGGCAAATTAAAACATTAGTAGCTAAGCCTAAGACCAAACAACTGTGTTCGGCTTTCAATTTCGCCTGTGATTTCAGATTACTTTTAAAGTTGCAAGGATTTATGCTATAATCTGTTGAATCAGAAAGAATGCTATAGCTATGCATAACATGCACCATGCAAGAGCCTGATACCAACAATAGACATAATTAGTTACCAATTTACAAATGAATGGTTGCAACCAATACCAGCCAATACACTCAACGGCGATGCCAACCTTTTCTAAACCACTAATTGACGTAATTGTGAAGTTAGTATCCTCTTTAAATACTATATGCATCCATTTATTCATTCATATTCCTCTACAATTTAAAACAATTCAAAATTTATTTTCTTCTCGTCGAGTCTACAATCCTGGAGTTATCAGGCGTTGGTAAATTGTATTTTTTTCGGATGGACTCTCGTAATCTTTTACTATTTCGCCTTTCAGTAGCCTCGTCAAAAGACTTTAGATCTTCGTTTTTCTGTTTTTTACTGCCAAAACTAAAAGATCTTTTTGAATTACCGGCACCGTCTTGTTCCTCAATATTTTTATTTTTCCTGTTTTTGGGCTTCGCCAAATCAAGAGCCTCTGTGTTTACGTCGATGTCGTATTTATCTCGAAGCCATTTGTTTCTTCTCAAGCTTTGAATCCGTCTCTCCCGTCCACCCTCTGTCTTTAATTTCACTTCCGATTCTGTCGTTTCATCCGTCTCATCTAACTTCCCGTTACTACATAAAGTTCAAAAATGGTGTAAAACAAAATTAATGGTAATTTGGGTAATAGTAATTTGGAAACGCGGAAAAAAATGAAAATAGTTTCAAATAGAGCTATCGAATATCTTGTTCAAATAAACAATTTTCGGCTCGAAATTTCGGTCAGATTTATAGTATAATTATAAAAGTTCAACAGTTTTATGAAGAAATAAAAAATGAGGGGGGAAATGCTGCAAAATAGATTTGTAATTGGTCGCTAGTTCCAGGTCCAGGGCCTTTTCCTCAAGGTCGGATCAGCTGGATGTAAAATGTGGGTAAAATGTCAAAATTGGAGAAATTTTGATGAGCCATGAAACAGGTTAACTTTAATTTCTGAGATAGATTTGCATTCAACCTCTGGGTTGAGGATACTGCATATTGAACACCACATTTGAGACTTTGACTTGCCAGATTAATAGCAGACATCTCAGTTTTGCATGTTAATTCGACAAAAAGCTAATAGGTAATAACATGTAAGTCAGAGTAATTGACAATGATGCATACAATAGATATGCATGGGTGCTGTGAGAAATCTTACTAAAGGTCCCTCTACTTGAGCAGATTTTGCTGTACCGGTAAGTTATTTATATTGTGACTAGTGTATAAAATCATTCAATAACATGTTATTTACCAAATGTCTGTAGTTAAGCATACCAAGGTAACAATTGATACCAAATATTATGCTTCAAAATTAAGTTATCACTATTTATGTAAAAATAATTATAGGTAATCCACTACATTCCATCCATTTTGGATGCTAATTGCTTGTGGAAACATCAAACATGACATGAATTTAGTTTTGTAGAGCATCAAACCTTAAAGGTCCCCCCTACTTGAGCAGACTTTGCTTCAAGTTATTTATACTGTGACCAACTAGTGTATAACATCATCCATTTAGTACCTAATATTTACCTAACATCAAAAATCACTATTAGGGTGATACAAGGTCTCTGGTCACACATGTGACATTGCTGTTTCTTCAGGCTTCATATCTTGCATGTAACAAAAGAGAATAGCTTTGTCATGTGTGTGATCACGTGAGACAAAGAAGCACTCATTATTGCCAAGGAAACTTTTGAAGAAATTCCATCAATTAAAATTACCTTATCTTACCTTATTCCATCAATTAAAATTACCTTAATCTTACCTTACTCCATCATTTTGCTTAGTTTCCTCATGCTTATTGTCCACCTGATCAGCATTTTTCTTTTTAGTCATCCGCCTTTTGATTTTCTCATTTGGTTCTTTACCAATATATTCATCATGGTAGAAGTAGCCTTCTTTTCTGTAATGAAAAGAGACAAATATTAGAATTTTAGAAAGATTTAGAAAACAAGCACTATCTTAATAACACAATGCAATATTCTACCATATACTGTATGTATATTATTATCAGTGGCAGATCTAGGGGTGTGCAGAATAAATTACTACAGCTTAAAATCAGAATTGCATTGGTAGATTTTAATGTAAAAATATTCTTTTCAAATCTATAACCAATAGTGTTGTTATTAAAATTAAGTTGTGTAATTCATTCTGCACACCCATAGATCTGCCACTGATTATTATATGGCTTTCCAAAATCCTCTATTCTGATTGGTTGACTACCGGTCTGTAAAAAACCATATCCGGGCTGTGGTCTGAACGTTCCATATCTAGACCAGTATGAGTATCATGGCTGTCTCATGAGTGCAGTTCAGCCATATAATAAACAGATTATTGACCTCGCTTGTTCGGTCATGCCCTGTCAAATTATTAAATAATCTTTGAAATTCTAAAAAATTTATCACAAATAAATCCCACTAAATAAGATTTCTGGAGAGAAAATTCTGGTGGGAGTATGCCCCAAACGTCATGATAATGCTTTATTGCCTGCTCATTAAATGCCACTGTGGCTTGAGATGCAAGGTTTATACCCTAGTACGGTATATATTTATCTGTGTACCGCATTGGAGCCTTATAAAACTTGATTTGCTACCCATATACTTTGCAAGTCAACAGATTATAAAACATCAGAAGTGAACTGGATCTGACAAAATTTGATTGTGTAAACATGCCTTAACACAGGTAAAGGTATATACCCATGTAATAAATTTGGAAGACTGTTAATTAAAGATGATAGAGTAATGACCATAGTCATATGTCTTCCTACCAACAGGTATAGGTAGTATTATTTTGTTTATATAATGAATGTAAATTTGCATTAAAGAGTATCGTAAACTATATATCAATTATCAAGAGATACTAGCAGATAGTGTTTGTAACTCTGGTAGATCACTTGGAAAATATTCATGCATTATTCGCATGCATAATTTTATCATTTTGTTGAGCGTCAACAAAACGTTCGGTAAATCCTATTCAAATGCTCATTCAATGAATTTATTCTCCACATTTTGACAAGGATTGTGACACAATGCAGATAAAGTACACATCAAACATTCCAACAGTGCCAATACAATGCCACTGTCTGGTTTGCATTTCTAAAAATGGTAAAATACATTATAATTGTCCCTGAAATGCACTGGACCTTTTATAGATCTAAGGATCAAAATTTTACGGTATAAACCATGGTCGTATAAAGTAAAACCGCATACATATACAGTATATATACAGAAGATGAACGTAAATGAATAAATATCGTCATCAATAGAATATTTGATTTTTAATCATGAGATAATATTCAATGGAATCACGCAATTTGCTCGTTCGTGTTTAATATTATTAAATTAGTCAACGGTAAAAATATAACATTTATATTTTTGGAAATATAGCAATAATGCGAAGTATTACATAAATACAAGTTCAATATTTAGTAATTATCTATGCAAGATATGCTAGTAGCCCAGTATTGTGTAAACTATCAGGAAATGCGCACCTTTTGCCGTCGGCATAAACGTAAACTCCTTTCCCATACTTCTTTGATTTTCGCCATCCCCCGTCGTACATATCGCCATTTGGGTATAAATACACACCTCGACCATGCCGCTTCCCGTGTTTTGTTTCCCCTTTGTAAGATTTTACGGTAACAAAATCATCCTCTTCCACGGAAGATTGACCTTTGTCGCTTTTATTTCCCATCTTTGTTGTTGTGGTTGTACCGGTTAGGGAATATGGGGGATGAATATGGTCATATGAGAGGGTGCTCCGTGACAAACTGGATGCGGCGATTGATGCGGCGTCAATCAATACGTCATCTGGGAACAGAGCTTGGATCTGAACATTTATGCAATTTATGCAGTATTCCCTCAACGTTTTCGTAAACATTTCATATCAAGTGTGTTTCATATCAATGTTTCTATAATTAATACCTAAAAGATTTGCCTTTTTGATAAATTAAGGCCAAAAACATTGGGCGAATGATTTCAGAGAGGCCTTACCTGACCAATTACCATAGGAAGCCCAGACAAATGAGTTGAAGTTAATAAAAATCCGTAAAACACTTGAGATATGTGTTAAAATTAATTAAAGTATGTAATATGCTACAAAACTACTGTTAGAACCATGTATGTAGCGTGCTCCAGAGGCGCTGCCATTTGACTATGCAACTAGTGACGTAAATATATATATTAATATATATATATATATATTATATATATATATTATATATTAGTAATATATTATATTATATATATATATATATATTATATATATATATTATATATTATATATATATATATAGGATATATATGATATAGTAAGTTACGTCACTAGTTGCATAGTCAAATGGCAGCGCCTCTGGAGCACGCTACATACATGGTTCTAACAGTAGTTTTGTAGCATATAACATACTTTAATTAATTTTAACACATATCTCAAGTGTTTTACGGACTTTTATTAACTTCAACTCATTTGTCTGGGCTTCCTATGCAATTACAGGCTGACCCACGATTACAAATTCAAACTAAAATACTGAATATCCTGTCATTTTCGGGAGTTCTCCTTCCCCTGAAGGTTCGCGGGTCCTGGTTGCAAGATTGTTCTTCTTATTCAAGCTTATTTTTTAAATGAATTTCTGATGCACTACTTTTCATTTCATCATTATTCCATAGCACATAATTTATTTTCCCTTATAAGGCTACATATATACATGTAAACCTGTTAAAACTATCAGCTAGCCTTGGCAAGACGTGAGAAATGACGGTGTATCAGCGACCTGTACAAACACTGCAACGACTATGTGACACATTGGGTTGAAGGCACGAACGCGAATGGTCCCGGTAAAAATAATAATAGGTCATATGATGATCGCATCTTGTCCCAACAAGTACATAAGCAAGTTTTGTGCTTTGGGCAATTGAACTGAGCAGAATGAGGGGTTCGAGCTTATTTGTCACAAGATGGAACGGCGCAACGAAACTGCCGCCCAAGATAGATACAAAAAATATTCTAGATAGTTGTATAAAGAATGAAAATCAAGCATATTTACGGATAGTACTTTAGTGGCGAAGCCAGCATTGATTAATCCGGCGTAACATGAAAATATAAAGATGCCCCCCCCCCAAATATCGTTCTGGCTACGCCACTGGAATATGTTCACCTACGAAATCGCGTCTCGAAATTCCAGAAATAATGATCAACATGGAAGGAAGATATCGAAATTGTGTGCAGATTAATTTTCCGCTGACATGCATCACCGCAAGGAATATTCCAAAGAGACATGTCGCAGTGCTCGGAAGCTTTCGCCCAATTGGATAATGCTTTTCTATAACTTTTAAAGAACGAAGCTGTGCTATTGGTTGAAACAGAAATGTATTGTAAAGTTCAGCCAATGAAAATCATTCTTGCGAGGAGCTACCGTTCCAAAAGTTGTTGTCTGTTGATGCATGGATACTGTACACAAGGGATATTATTCAGTAATACTCAACACTAAAGTTAAATGATATGTTTGATATATAATAGTTGATTATCAAAAGACTAAAGAGTATTAAAAGTAAACGTATTCGCGACGCATTGATCCAAAGAGTATATATACTACTACCAGTATACTACCAGTAGCGTAGCCAGCCTGACGTTTTGCCCCGCTATGCTAATATTTTGGTGCTTGTTGACTTTGAAAACAATGAATTGCTAAGGAAATGAAAAAATTATAATAACGCGAAATTTATGTAGCGGGACAAAAACGTCAGGCCGGCTACGCCACTGTATGGGATTTGGGATATAAACGTTGTTGCGAGAAACCTAGCTAAACAGAGCGAACCAAAAAACTAGTCGAAGACCTAAGACACAACAAAGGTGCACGGTGAGCTTAATATACACATTTCATGAATGTATCAGTCTATACTTTACATGTATGTTTATTATTATAGGAGATGTGAATTATCGTTTAGTGATTGTGATTAGATCGTTTAATTTCAGACCTCAAGCGTTTCATGAACCGAATCGAAGCAAATGATCTTTAACAAAGACCTTAGCTCATTATCATTAGGCTCGGCACATTAAAAGTTCAACATCTAAAACAGGCCTTAATTAGGCTTTATAAGATGGCAAGCAATGAAAATTATTTTATGAACTCTTTAGTCTTTAGTGTGTCTGGTTAAGTTGTAACGACTCCTATATATCGTTGAATATACAGCTTCTATATATTGCATGGTTGGTGGCGAGAAAGGAATTTAAAATACAATCTTAAACTTCAGGCGACACAATTGATTTTATCAGCCATGACATAGGCAATAAGGAAATTTCCTAGGATCTCGCTTTTGAATTAAGGCATGCAAAACGAAGGATCAAAAGGATCTTTAACATTTGATGAAACGGAGCCAGAAACGACGCTCTTGCAAGATAATAAATTAATGCTAGTATTTGTAGCGAGATTACATGCATATACGCCTGTATTCAAAAAGCTTACTCATGCTTGCACACTCAGTCACTCACACGCTTTGAGTGTGACATAGAAAGTGTTATAATTTATATTATTCATCAATGAGAATTTTTTTTCTCAGTCAATGAAAAAATTTAAGGTAAAACATTGAAAATTAAGCTATATGCATTTAGTTTGACTGAAAATACCATCATGGAGAAGTTATAAGAAAATTGAGATCTCAATGAGTTTGAGTGTGAATGAGCTCAGATAAATGCGATCGAGGTAGGCGAAGGTCTAGAATGGGCTAGCATTGGATTTAAAGAAGAAGAAAATGTCCTTTAGTAAACAAACTGGTGGGGAATATGACAGAAAACAATGATGTTAAATAATTATTTTTGTGTTTTTGAGATGATCGTTGATAGTTTAGTACTTGCTCAGGAGGGAAAGCAAGTAGATTTATTTAGAAATTGTTAATCCTGACGTTTAAAATTAGAATTTGTAAAACTAGGGCGATCTTAAAGAGCACCTGTTCCACAAGAAATATAAGAAAATGGAAATCAGAAAAATTATAATTTCTGAAACAGATTTCGCCCACATTGAACCTAAAACTCTAGATTTCGAAAAATGCCCTTTTCGTATAGTTGAGCCACAGGAACTTCAACAAGCAGAAACCTTGCATATTTTTTAAAGGAAAAATAAAGCACGTATATTCATAATCAAACTTGACGTGTTTATTCTTTCGACTTGTATTTGTAAATAGTCCTGTTTATTAATATTTGTGTGTATGACGCCCCTCGTGAAAATCAGCTGCATCTACAGTGGTGGTCAAAAGTCCGCTGAGTCCAGTCGATAATTTTTCCTAATTTACAATGAATGTATCTTGTGAGTTGGAGATTGGATAATATTTTTATCTGAACTTGCGCGTTTTCTGAAAGTAATATCCCCTTTATGTTTTAATTTCTGGTTAATTGGTATGATATTTAAATTGTACAAGAAATATACAATATATATAATTTTTATCGTGTTTGTATGCACATGCTGTGCTGTCGTTATATCAATGGGACATCATAATTATTATTGACTGGACGCAGACTTTTGACCCCACTGCATGTATGTGCATATAGACTATATAATACTTGTCCAAAACTAGTGATTTGCAGTAAGTAGTTTTGCTATACTTGTCTATTACTATTACCACACGTCATGCAGGTTAACGTCGATCGATATCGGTTTCAAGCTAGTGAAAATAAGCTAGTGAAGATTTTGCGCACACAGAACTGAGGCCGGTTGTAAAAAACTCTTAACTACATTTTGCGTAGTTAAATCGTAGTTAACTCAGAAATATACGTGACTCTGATTGGTCAATTCTGCCACTAACTATATGGTTAAGAGTTTACTACGTTTTTATACAACTGGCCCCTGTATGAAATCATCCCCCCTGATAAAATCAATGGATGAGCGTTTATGATGTGCAGGCATTCAGAAAAATATCAGAATAGTCTTTTATGGGACGTTTACTGGATGAGATAAGTATTAAACCACCTTATGGTACAGGAATATTTCTATCTTCTCTGGATGGCATAATGGAGGTTTGAATGAATCAATAAAAACACTCTCGTACTCGCTTAAATTGTCCGAATTAGCTGTTTCAGGAAATGGCCCCGATATCGGTTTGAAGAAGTTTGTCGATGGCTTGTCAAAATGGAGGCACTTTATAATTGTTTCTTAAATCGTATAGCTACGATTGTGAGTGACGGAAAGTAATAAAATTTGATAAGTAGCTAGGCGTTGTTTTTCGTAATGCCATAAGTGTCATTTACTCCTTATACGAAAGTGGAAATTTCCATTCAACTAAGGAAGATTTAAAAGTTCAATTTGTGTGATTTTACAGAACCTAAACGCGTCGGGTATGGCCGCTATGTTACACTTCTTTGGATGCCTGGTGCTGTTAGTAAGTTTCATTAAGATGGCAGAGAAATCCAAGATATACGGTAAGGACGGGAACGAGGATTTCGTTATTTTTTCAGATGAGAATTTTAAGAACGTTTGTTATTGGTTGGGTATTACTGCGTATCATTACCTTTTTTATATAATTCTTTTTCAGATGATCCTTTGTCCGAGGGATACGATGAATTACATGATGATTTTAAAAAGTTTGAAATTGCGATAATGGATGCGAACTTTGATAAAATACCCGGTCGTTCCGAGTTCATTCTTAAAAAAAAAGAAAGATCTTGTGGAGACCGTTGCAATGAAACTAGAAACTATAGTGGTGTTCACTGTCAATGTGACAGGTTGTGTCCTCTCTTCAGAGATTGTTGCTATGATTATTGGCGAAGGTACGTTCAGTCGAAATTATAGTTGCTCGTTCTTGACTTGTGCATGCATGCTGTAAATACACGTTCCGCAGAACATAGAAGATACTTAAAGAAAGCAAATGAAAACGAGTCATTTTATTAGCTCGAATACACCCTTAGGTACAACTACATTAATTCTAATTAGTTTACAAGGGTTGTTATGAATAAGTTTTATCAAAATGATATGGTTAGCAAGGTAAATATAGCCGCGTTACCACTAAGATTGATCTGAGATCGATAAAAAAGATTAGCGTGAACGCGGCCATTGTGTTCTTGCATGATGTTTAGAACAAAGTAGAGTTTACAGGCTAAGGCAGAATCAGTATTGCCGACAAAACGTTGAAGCTAAAATGACTTTAAGACGCTTCAATAATGATACAAAAGTCAATTTAGTTTCATTTTTTGATCATTTACTCAGATGTAACGTGGTTACCAAACCTTTCAATATTTCTATGCAAGAGAAGTGGGATTGTGTGGACACCAAGTTTAAACAAGCAAAATATTACTGGAGCACTGGAAACATTGCGTACATGATGATAAATCGCTGCCCGGAAACGAAAATTTTGACCAATCAGAGCGCGAGAAGTTGCATCAGACCTGGCAGCAACCGTATGAACCTAACCGAACGTCTTCCGGTGACAGGCGAAGATGGAAAGACTTACAGAAATGAATATTGTGCACGATGTCATGGAATGACTAACATTAAACACTGGGGTCTAATGGTTGTGTGTTTAGATCCGGTAACTAACTGGAGTAATCTTACTAATGAGAGCCCTTATTTAAGAGAGAATTGTACCTGGTATTTATCACCGGAAAATAAAAGCGCTACATCACCAAATCCTTGTGTTCTGTCAGCTTTATGCGAGGCTTTGGTGAGCACTGCCGAGAACTCTCAATACAATGATCTTATCAACAAATGTAAAGTATATTCTCAATTGGTAATGGCAGACAATGTTTTATACAAAAATTTTCATTGTGCCTCGTGTAACGGAAAAAACGCCAGCGAATTCGAAAGACCTCCTGCTAATATTATTCCTGAATTGCCTTCGTTGTCTCTCTTTTTTGACTACAAATCACTTTCAAAAAGGTCTAACGGTGAGCAAGATGGAGGCACGAAGCCTGATCATGCGATGGAGGAGAGTTTGGATGAAGTTATTCAAAGTTACCTCACTGTTATTGGTATCTCCTTATCAATCACGTGTCTACTGACTGTTGTAATGACATACGCTCGGTTTCCAACATTGAGAACAATCCCAGGCCTCGTCTTGCTTGGGTTATCACTATCGTTGCTGGCATATCAAGCTCTCCTATTGGCTAGTCCTTATACAACATCATATGGATGTAAAGCTATGGCAGTTGCGTTACATTTCATGATAATTTTGTCATTTGCATGGATGACCGTTATGAGTTTCGACGTGTCCAAAACGTTTTCCCGAAAAGGTGGGTGATACAAAACCCGCGTTCAATTGCACGTCAGAAACAATATAATGCATGTTAACAGAAAATTGAAGTTTAAATGTGCAAAGCGAAAACCTTCCACCCGTAAACACATAAAATTCTGGAAGTTACCCCATTCATCTACAATAACTGACAAACCATGCATATTTATATAATTGTCCGTATTTTTTCAGGCAAAGCTTCTAATTCAAGTCGCTCTGGTTTTAGCCGTTATGTCACATTTGCCCTGTCCATTCCAAGCAGCATTGTAGCGGTGACGTTTATTCTGGGGGAAACCGAAGTTATTCACGTTGGATATGGTAAACAGATCAACATCGACGAACATCGACGCATACTGCCTTATTAGTTCCGGCTGTTCAAAAGCCCGTTAGCTTAACCCTGGGTTAAACCAAATCTTTTCATCAAATTCTTTATTCCCCTATTTACAAAGTTAAATATCTTCTTCAATAAATCTTTTCTGGACCGAGAAAAGTCATATTTTGTCAAAGGCTGAACAGGAAAGGAAAAAACTAACAGCGGTCCAAACGCACTGGGTTAAAATTTAACCGAGGGTTAGCGCTAGTGAACAACTGGCCCCAGGACATTAATGTTAAAATGATATGTTTGAAATAGATCAGTAGTTATGATTAGGGTAGAAAGGATGCAGTCAGTTTTTGTGACTTTTGCTTACGAACTTATAGTAAATAATATTATGGCTTGCAGTAAAACTGAGGCTACGTTCACATTCGGGACGGTGCTCGAATTTGTCCGGTTTTCTCGTGTGAACACGTAAAATCGGTCAAATTTTTATTCGTTTTCACGGTGCGTTCCCCTGAACCGGACGAATTCGAGCCCTGTTCCAAATTTGTCCAGTCCCGTGTGAACGTAGCCTGAACGTACAAGAAAAAAGTACAAGAAAAAATTCATTTTTAGGCGAATCACAATCTTGTTGGATTAGTGAAAAACTAGCTTTGATAATATTCTTTTATGTTCCTGTGGCAATCATGCTTGTGTTCAACGCTGTTTCTTTGATACGGACTATCTTCAGTATTCGTAATGACACCAAGGTAAATAATATTATACTTAAATTCCGTGCTATATCTAATATTATTGTATTTTCAGCAGATGGACGACGGTAAACGGTGTTGTATTTCCTTTTTATATTATGGTTAAATCTGCTTCACGCATGTATTTTCTTTTCTAAAGTTGACAAAAAGTGTTAAAAGATCGGTTGAATCCAACAAACGAAGTCGAAATGCAAAGATTTACATGAAGCTATCGACAGTGACGGGGGTGACTTGGCTCTTGGGATTTGGTGCTGCGCATAACACAATTGTCGCATATCTTTATGTTATTGTGAACAGTTTACAAGGTACGAATTTATCAGTTAAGATTTTCATTGCTTTTCCTATCTTGGCACTAGTCCATTTTGTCTGCAATGTCAATGACACAATCTATCGCATGCATGCGTTATAACTATATAACCTTATTATTAACATGATGAAATTGCTGGATGATGTATGGTCGTGAGGAGTGCGGTAATTTCATTCATTGTCAGAAAGTTAAACGAAAATACCGGAAAAAGTATTGGGATAAGAGCATAATTATCATACATGCATTGAAAATTATGTCCGAAAAGATCGCAAAAGGCGCTGCAAAAAATTTACCCATTTTTAACATGCATACAATAAATATATTATACCATATTAAAACCTACCACACATCATCTTAGCCACGTTTATTTTTACCTTCTATACTTTTTTCTTACAAAACAGGTGTCTTCATTTTTGTGTCTTTTGTCTTAAACAAGAGAGTGATAAATATGTGGCGTAGTGCGGCATCTACCGGAGTGGTCACAGCACCTTCACCACACGACAAACCAGGTTATCAAAGGCGGAAGAGTCGTATGCATCAATCACCCTGCTGACTGGCGCGTGTTATGAAAATCACTAACAACCGGAAACTTGTTTCACTAGCCCCCAACAATCTTCGTTCAAACTTTAAATAGAAAAAATGCATGGGACATGCACGTGATTTAGGGAAACTTTGTAGAATAATGCTGAAAATAGTTTTGAAATAAAGGTCGCCTACTTCCCGCCTGCTTTCAGCATATTTTGAGAACACTCGACTATCTATAAAATTACTGACACTGATATTCACTGAAAGCGAGATGAATGAATCGGAGAGACAGATACGTATAGTCGACGTTTTTATTCATTGATATTAATCACGCCTTGGATGAGTAACTGTGAAAGTGAAAGTCTAGTCATCAATCTGTTCAGGCGCAGCAAGGTGAGGGCCCACTGACTACCAAAGTTTTAAGATAAAGTTATAACGGGTGATTGGTAAAGATTGATTTCCTTGCACAATACAATGCCTGTGTGCCCTTGTCAAACCAACCCACACAATTACTTGATTTAATTGCTCCCTAAAGAAATTAAACATAGTAATCCGAAAGGTGGGTGTCAATCAGTGCTATTTTCTTACACTGTTAATTTAAACTAAAAACGGCTTCGTCTGAGACCATCAAGTGATCGAGAACACCAGGATTCTAATCAACCGTATTGACAAAGCGATCACAGAATGCCAAATTAAACGATGGTCGGATCACCATCCTTCAACTTCTGTCTTCTAATTAGAACATAAGGATGCATGGAATTCTATATTCAGTGCAACCATTCGCTAAAATGACTTAATCCTAAACCATTTTGGCGTGAAGATCGCTTTCCATTTTAAATTAGAGACATTATTACTAATTCGATATTTTCTTCGGTTCTGGCAGTCCTTCGTGGCATCGTTGTTTATTCAGATCGTGGCACCACTGGCACGTGCTTTCTCGCCCAAACTTTCTGTAGGTTTTAATAGTAAAGACCCTGGGTACCAGGTTGGTTTTAATACCCGTTTCTCAACTTGGGGCGGGTACGTCATGCATGGCAATAATTTGGCCATGTTCTTAGGACTTCTGGAGCATTTACAACCCTTACATACATACTCGAAGCATATACCAAAACTCTTTGTTCGACTGTTAAACAAGGCGTAATTGCAACGGTGTGGGACTGTCGGCTTTGCCAAAGGTATTGATGCGGGATGATGTGCACACATTGAATTACATCGCAGCTTGCAGGGGGTGGGATTTTTTCGCTTTCGCGTGTGTAAATTAACGTCTGCGTACACACTATATGAGTAAAAAAAATATAAAAAAATTAAAATAAAAATATTTTATTTCTCAAATTACTCATAATGTTACAACATTTAAAATGTTTGTTTCAATACGTATCACCAGAAAAACTGTTCATTTTAATAAGTTCATTTTTTTAAATACTCTATGAATTCCTTGGGATAACTGTTCTCGTGACTTGTAAACTGTTGTGTTGTCCCATGCAGGCGGCATGGTAAAAGACAACAGCACCTGCCTCTAGTGGGTCGCTGCTTCAAAACACTTTGAAAATAGCAGTTTCTTTGAGATTATGATTTAGTTTTGGGGGGTGGTACCAATGCTGAAAAACTAATAAACAAATGAAAATATAGCGAAGAAATAAATTTGGGTATAAATTTCAAAGTAAGGTACAGCGTGCAACTAAACATGATGTATTTTATTGTGACGTCATAGCTATTTGGACTTTAGGAGTTGCATCCAATGGCAAAAACATATGATGATCGTCGGCCACGCAACTGCCACTGCCAAGTATTGATCAAATAGGGCAAAATGGGGTTGTTTTTGGACCTGGTAAGGGCACTGGCGGTGATTAATTTGGCTTTAAGGTTGCGGCGAAGTTAACATTCCAGGATTATTAACTGTTAAGTTCACTAATAAAACTACACTCTGTACATCTATGTATGAACAAATGGAGTCACAGTTCAATGACCATCCTACGAACACCAGACAAACATAACAGTTAATTAATTCTAGATAACTACATGTACACGTCGCACACGTCACGTACCTAGTTTTAGTAAAGAATTTTGACATCTAGCCTCGACAAAACTGAGTTATCATGCGCCTACAATCATTTGACCCCGTCCCTTGTTAATAGTATAAAGGGCGAGAAATGCACATTCTACTTGTACGTTGAGTGAAAAACAAACATGTTTCCCATAAAAATAGTAGAATAATTACGTAAAATTTATCAGTTCCGAAGTCATATGAAATGAAGGATGTGATAATTCAGTTTAGCTGAGAGTCTGGTTTCTGATTAGCTGATTTTGCAATTGATACTTAGATATGCTTGCTTGGGCAAGATGTGTATCAATGGTGCTCTTATACAGGGGGTAACTAGAACGATAATTGTTGTTGTTGTAGCATATACTCCCTTGTTGTTGCAGCATATAACTTCAATATGCCCATAAAAACAAAAAGTTGAGATCATTCAACTGTTTAATGATCCCTATATAAATTTACATTACTGAAACAAGTATAGGTAGGTAATTACTCTTGATTTTTCAAGTATAGTTCTTAAAGTAATTGTTAACCACACAGCTTAGTCTCTAGGCCTCTTATACGTGCCTTAGTACACACGGCGTGCTTCATTCGGTGACGTCATGAATTTTTAAAACACGCGCAATAAGGCCTAGAGACTAGGCTGCTAACCACAGGTGATCTGCGGTCAGTTGGATAAAACTCTTTAACTACAATACGCATAGTTAAATCCTAGTTAACTCCAAAATACACACAACTCTGATTGGCCAATTCTGTCCTTAACTACTGTTAAAAACTTAAAAGTTAACTAGTTTTTTATACAATCGGCCCCAACGGAGCTAGGCCTTGGGGAAGAGGATGCAGCCGGCCCCTGAAATGGCAGCAAAGGACTGGGACAAGTCATCAAAATTAAAATCTATTTTCGAAGAAAACACCTTCATAATTATATCTTAAAATTTACTTTATTTCATTGATTCAATTATACTTACTTTGAAAACAACCAATGACTAATCTATTTGTGAGCTTTTCTAAATGACTGTAAGTAAAATTAATTGAAATCAATACCTGCATATTATGATAAGCAATATCAACTGAAGATCCTCTGGCTCAGGCCACTCAGTTGGTATAGCTCTTGTGTGCAGCCGGGTTTAAACATTGTCATAGCGACGCATTGGTCCAACCACAGTTAACTATAATGCAACCTTAAATTGGAACGAAAAGGAAAGCCAATGGAATGTAATATCTTCCGATATTTTATTTTTAGGCGGCAAATTAAAACATCAATACTACAATAGTTGAGACCAAACAACTGCGTTCAGCTTTCTATTTCGCCTTTCTGTGGCCTCGTCAAAAGACTTTAGATCTTCGTTTTTCTGTTCTTTACTGACAAAAGTAAAAGATCTTTTTGAATTACCGACTTGTTCTCCGATATTTTTATTTCTCCTGTTTAAACCTTAAATGTCCCTACTTGAGCAGATTTTTCTGTAAGTTGTTTATATTGTGACTAGTGTATAAAATCATTCATTTACCTAATATTACCTAACATCCAAAGTTACTTTTATTGCCAGGCAAACATTCAAAGAAATTCCATCAATGTTTAAAGATATTTTAAATGGCAGTCAGACGACAATTTTTTTAAAAAGGTGTAAATTATCTTACCTTACTCCATCATTCTGCTCAATTTCCTCATGCTTAATGTTCACCTGATCAGCATTTTTCTCTTTAGCCATCCACCTTTTGATTTTCTCATTTGGTTCTTTACCAATATATTCATCTTGGTAGAAATAGCCTTCTTCTCTGTAATGAAAAGAGACAAATATTAGAAATTTAGAAAGATTTAGAAAACAGGCACTATCTTCATAACACAATGCAATATTTTACCATATACTGTATGTATACTATTATCAGTGGCAGATCTAGGGGTGCGCAGAATAAATTACTACAGCTTAAAATCGAAATAGCATTGGTAGATTTTAATGTAAAAATATTCTTTTTAAATCCATAGCGAATAGTGTTGTTATTAAAGTTTTTTGAATTTAAAATTAAGCTGTGTAAGTTATTCTGCACACCCCTAGATTCGTCATTGATTATTATATGGCTTTTCAAAATCCTCTATTCTGATTGGTTGAAGACCGCTCTGTAAAAACCCATATCCAGGATGACACTGGTCCGAATATTCCATAATTTATCTGGATCAGTGTCCTGGATGGATGTCTCATGCAGTTCAGCCATATAATAAACAGATTATTGTCATTGCTTGTTCGGTCCAATTTGATTGTGTGAACATGCCTTAACACAGCTAAAGGGTACATATACCCAGGTTATAAATTAGGAAGACTTTTAATTAAAGATGATATAGTACACCATACGTGTTATTTTGTTTATATAATGAATTTGCATTAAAGAGTATCGTAACCTATATGTTAATTAACAATAAGAGATATTACATAGCTGATGGTGTTTTTAACTCTGGAAAAGATCACTTGGAAAATATTCATGCATTATTGGCATGCATAATTTTATCATTTTGTTGAGCGTCAAAAAAATTGTAAATCCTATACACATGCCCATTTAATTAAATTTATTCTCCACATTTTGATAAAGATTTCTGATACAATGCAGATAAAGTACACATCAAACATTCCAACAGTGCCAATACAATGCCACTGTCTGGTTTTCATTTCCAAAATTGGTGAAATACATTATAATTTAACAATTAAACAAGACTTACCTGGAAGTTGAAGTTTGATGGTAATTCTACCAAATTATTTAAGTAGAGGAGGGTTAACATTAGATGCGCACACACGGCCACGAGATCAATCCTAAAAGAACATTTTGGGTTGACGAAACTCCCAACACACAGTGTATAGTCTGTAAACGTACAACTTGTACATAGTAAAATACGATGATGACACCTTCCAGTGAAGGGCAGAAGGGTTATATGGGTATGTTAACCCTCCGATCCTGTACTTAAATAATTTGTTAGAATTACCATGATCAAACTTCAACTTCCAGGTAAGTCTTATTTAATTGTTAAATTCTACCAAATCATTAGGTACATCCGGGCTAACATGAGATTTTAAAGCAAGAAA